CCAGGTGCGCCCTTGCACCAGGTGCGCCCTTGCACCAGGTGCGCCCTTGCACCAGGTGCGCCCTTGCACCAGGTGCGCCCTTGCACCAGGTGCGCCCTTGCACCAGGTGCGCCCTTGCACCAGGTGCGCCCTTGCACCAGGTGCGCCCTTGCACCAGGTGCGCCCTTGCACCAGGTGCGCCCTTGCACCAGGTGCGCCTTGCACCAGGTGCGCCCTTGCACCAGGTGCGCCCCTGCACCAGGTGCGCCCCTGCACCAGGTGCGCCCTTGCACCAGGTGCGCCCTTGCACCAGGTGCGGCCCTTGCACCAGGTGCGCCCTTGCACCAGGTGCGCCCCTTGCACCAGGTGCGCCCCTGCACCAGGTGCGCCCCTGCACCAGGTGCGCCCCTTGCACCAGGTGCGCCCTTGCACCAGGTGCGCCCTTGCACCAGGTGCGCCCTTAGCACCAGGTGCGCCCTTGCACCAGGTGCGCCCCTGCACCAGTGCACCAGGTGCGCCCTTGCACCAGGTGCGCCCTTGCACCAGGTGCGCCCTTGCACCAGGTGCGCCCTTGCACCAGGTGCGCCCTTGCACCAGGTGCGCCCTTGCACCAGGTGCGCCCTTGCACCAGGTGCGCCCTTGCACCAGGTGCGCCCTTGCACCAGGTGCGCCCTTGCACCAGGTGCGCCCCTGCACCAGGTGCGCCCTTGCACCAGGTGCGCCCTTGCACCAGGTGCGCCCTTGCACCAGGTGCGCCCTTGCACCAGGTGCGCCCTTGCACCAGGTGCGCCCTTGCACCAGGTGCGCCCTTGCACCAGGTGCGCCCTTGCACCAGGTGCGCCCTTGCACCAGGTGCGCCCTTGCACCAGGTGCGCCCTTGCACCAGGTGCGCCCTTGCACCAGGTGCGCCCTTGCACCAGGTGCGCCCTTGCACCAGGTGCGCCCTTGCACCAGGTGCGCCCTTGCACCAGGTGCGCCCTTGCACCAGGTGCGCCCTTGCACCAGGTGCGCCCCTGCACCAGGTGCGCCCTTGCACCAGGTGCGCCCCTGCACCAGGTGCGCCCTTGCACCAGGTGCGCCCTTGCACCAGGTGCGCCCTTGCACCAGGTGCGCCCTTGCACCAGGTGCGCCCCTGCACCAGGTGCGCCCCTGCACCAGGTGCGCCCCTGCACCAGGTGCGCCCCTGCACCAGGTGCGCCCCTGCACCAGGTGCGCCCCTGCACCAGGTGCGCCCTGCACCAGGTGCGCCCTTGCACCAGGTGCGCCCTTGCACCAGGTGCGCCCTTGCACCAGGTGCGCCCCTTGCACCAGGTGCGCCCCTGCACCAGGTGCGCCCTTGCACCAGGTGCCCCTGCACCAGGTGCGCCCCTGCACCAGGTGCGCCCCTGCACCAGGTGCGCCCCTTGCACCAGGTGCGCCCTTGCACCAGGTGCGCCCTTGCACCAGGTGCGCCCTTGCACCAGGTGCGCCCTTGCACCAGGTGCGCCCTTGCACCAGGTGCGCCCTTGCACCAGGTGCGCCCTTGCACCAGGTGCGCCCTTGCACCAGGTGCGCCCTTGCACCAGGTGCGCCCTTGCACCAGGTGCGCCCTTGCACCAGGTGCGCCCTTGCACCAGGTGCGCCCTTGCACCAGGTGCGCCCCTGCACCAGGTGCGCCCCTGCCACCAGGTGCGCCCTTGCACCAGGTGCGCCCCTTGCACCAGGTGCGCCCTTGCACCAGGTGCGCCCTTGCACCAGGTGCGCCCTTGCACCAGGTGCGCCCTTGCACCAGGTGCGCCCTGCACCAGGTGCGCCCTTGCACCAGGTGCGCCCTTGCACCAGGTGCGCCCTTGCACCAGGTGCGCCCTTGCACCAGGTGCGCCCTTGCACCAGGTGCGCCCTTGCACCAGGTGCGCCCTTGCACCAGGTGCGCCCTTGCACCAGGTGCGCCCTTGCACCAGGTGCGCCCTTGCACCAGGTGCGCCCTTGCACCAGGTGCGCCCTTGCACCAGGTGCGCCCTTGCACCCAGGTGCGCCCTTGCACCAGGTGCGCCCTTGCACCAGGTGCGCCCTTGCACCAGGTGCGCCCTTGCACCAGGTGCGCCCTTGCACCAGGTGCGCCCTTGCACCAGGTGCGCCCTTGCACCAGGTGCGCCCTTGCACCAGGTGCGCCCCTGCACCAGGTGCGCCCCTGCACCAGGTGCGCCCTTGCACCAGGTGCGCCCTTGCACCAGGTGCGCCCTTGCACCAGGTGCGCCCTTGCACCAGGTGCGCCCTTGCACCAGGTGCGCCCTTGCACCAGGTGCGCCCTTGCACCAGGTGCGCCCTTGCACCAGGTGCGCCCTTGCACCAGGTGCGCCCTTGCACCAGGTGCGCCCTTGCACCAGGTGCGCCCTTGCACCAGGTGCGCCCTTGCACCAGGTGCGCCCCTTGCACCAGGTGCGCCCTTGCACCAGGTGCGCCCTTGCACCAGGTGCGCCCTTGCACCAGGTGCGCCCTTGCACCAGGTGCGCCCTTGCACCAGGTGCGCCCTTGCACCAGGTGCGCCCTTGCACCAGGTGCGCCCTTGCACCAGGTGCGCCCTTGCACCAGGTGCGCCCTTGCACCAGGTGCGCCCTTGCACCAGGTGCGCCCTTGCACCAGGTGCGCCCTTGCACCAGGTGCGCCCTTGCACCAGGTGCGCCCTTGCACCAGGTGCGCCCTTGCACCAGGTGCGCCCTTGTCCACCCCCCACCCCCTCTATCCAACCTTCCCTCCCTCGATTTCTCTAGTTCTGCTATTTCTTTGTCTTAATCGCTGTGCTTTGGCCTCTGCCCTCTCGTCTTCCTCCTCTCTCCCTTAACTCCTCTCCCGTCCCCCCGACCTTTCTCTCCTGTCTCCTCCCCCTCTCTCCCCGCCCCTACCCCTTCTCTTCCCCCCCCCCCCCTCGCCTCCCCCCTATCAGCTGAGGAGGCGGCTGTTCCGCCCATGGCAGCGCATTCTCAGCGACTCGCCCTCGCCCCTGCAGAGATCACTGGTGGACCCTGGGCGAGGGGGCACCTTGTCCTCTCACACCTCCCCCTCCCACACCTCCCCCTCTCACGCCTCCTCCTCTCACACCTCCCCCTCCCACACATCACCATCCCATGCCGGTGCTGCGGCTGCTCCTGCTGCCACTGCCGGCTCTCCAGCCTCTGCTGCCACTGCCACCACCCGTGGTGCAGCCACAGCACGGCACTTCTTCCCGCGCTCGCTCACTGCCGGCAACAGCCCCCTGCACCTGCTGGCGCCCTCACTGCCACACTCCGACTCGCTGACTACCGACGGCAGCAGCGTGGACGAGGCGAGTGTGGAGGGGAGCAGCTGTGGCGTGGTGGAAGGCGAGGGGAGGGCCGGTTGTGACGAGGAGATGCTGGGCTCAACTGATGGCAAGGATGAGCGCAGTAGGAGGAGTAACAGCAACAGCAACAACAGCAATTGCAAGAGCAGCAGCAGCAGCAGCAGCAGCAGCAGCAGTGCATGGAGCAGCAGCAGCAGCAGCAGTGCATGGAGCAGCAGCAGCAGCAGCAGTGCATGGAGCACCCAAGACAGCAAGCTTGGCAGGGGCAACTGCAACGGTCGCCGCCATCCCACCCCGCCCCGCATTCCACCCTTGTCCCGCCTTCCCCCCCACTCTCCTGTTGCTGCCCCTGCCCCTCCTCCTCCTATCCCAGCCCCGACCCCCGCCTCTGCCGCGGCGTTTCCCTCTCCGCCGCTCTCCTCCTCCCCCTCCCCTTGTGCCGTGGGTGCGGGAGCAAGGGCGGCAAGTGGGACAGGCGGCAAGACAGGTGCAGCAGGGGCGGTGGTGGGGCAATCATCACCGGGGGAGAAAACAGGCGGAGGGAGAGGAGGAGGGGCGGGAGCAGTGACAGCAGGAGGAGGAGGAGCGGGAGCAGCGGCGGCGGCAGCAGGAGGAGGGGGAGGGGGAGGGGGAGGCAGGGGGAGGTCGGTGGTGGGGCAGCTGTTGGGGCAGGGCATGGCGGGCACGGCAGTGAGGGTGGACAGGCGCACTCGCAGGGCCGTGCAGGACCCGCTGCTGGGGGAGGCGTATGAGGTGCTGCTGCACTTTGGCATCATTGACATCCTGCAGGTGTGCCGTGCGGTGCAGTGTGGTGAAGGTAGTTGGTATGGTGCAGGTGGGGTGTGTGGTACGGTGCAGATATCTTTCAATCCGCTCAAGAGCCACCTCGCGACGAGGTGGTGCGGCACTTTGGCATGTGTACAAGAGCCTGCAGTTTGTTGAATGACCCAACCCTGAATGTCCCTCTGCACCCACCAACCCCTCCACCCTTAGGAGTACGATGTGGGCAAGCGCGTGGAGCACGTGGTCAAGAGCCTGCAGTACGACTCTGTAGGTGACTTGAAAGGCAACGGGTGAAGCAACCCCGCATGTCCCTCTGCACCCACCACCCCCCTCCACCCTTAGGAGTACGATGTGGGCAAGCGTGTGGAGCACGTGGTGAAGAGTCTGCAGTACGACGGCCACTCCATCTCCGCAGTCAACCCCTCGCTCTACGCCCGCCGCTTCCGCTCCTTCATCCTCTCCACCTTCCCCGACCCCCTCCACCCCCACGCCTCCGATGCGCGTGATGCTGATGCTGCTGATGGTAACTGCACTGGTGATGCTGATGGTGATGCTGATGGTGATGGTGGTGGTGGGGATGGTGGCGATGGTGGCGATGGTGGTGATGATAATGGTAGTGGTAGTGATGGTGACGGTTATGATGATTTTCTTCTTGCCTCTCCCGTGGGAGGTGTGCGGACGTCATGCGGCATTCTCCGCCTGTCCCACTTCTAGTGGCACGCATGGCGTGACACTCTGAGCAACACATTCTATTTATTATTTATTGTACAATATCGGTACACTTAAGGCCTGCCTGCTGCACGCAGTGCAACCTGTACAGAAATGTACTCAGGAATCATACAACCAAACACGATAATAAAATAATCAAGCCACTTGCAGCCCGTCCCCCTATAGCAGGGGTGCTTCAAGCAGCCTGTGCCCCTGAGTCGACTTGAGCGTCTCACGGCTGCCCCAGCTGGTGGCACTGGGGGCACGTGCAGGTGAGCTGGTGCTGCAGCAGGGAGGCCTCGAGCTGCCGGTGTTGCGCCCTGAGCTGCCCCACATACGCCACCGCCCCGTCCAGCATCGCTGCCATGTCCCCCCGCCCCCTCACTGCCTGCCGTAGCCTCTGCAGCTCCTGACTGCACGGGTTTGAATTGGAGGGAGGGAAAGGGCGAGGCAGGGGAGGAGGCAGGGGAATAATGATGATGGGAAGGAGGATGAGGGGGAGAACGAGGTGGTGTGTGTGTGAGCACGCCTGTCAGCAGACGTTAGGCAAGATGCAGATGCAGAAACGAGGGCACGGTGCAGGCACGGAGCGGGAAGGGGGTTGACGGGGTGGGGGTAAGGATCGAGGGGGTGCAGGAATGGGGGAAGGAAGGGCGGTTGTGGAAAGCGGAGGTGCATCTGGTGAGGGGCGTACCTGATTCGCTCTCGCCGCTCTTTCTCCACCACACTCTTGTTCTTGCCGCGTCCGCCAGACGAACCAGAACCTCCCGTCCCTCCTCCCCCCTCTCCTAGTACTTCCATTCCTGCCATGTCTCCTGTCTCTATCCCTCCCTCCGCCTCCGCCTCCGCCCCCACCTCCGCCTCTGCCCCTGCCTCTCCCTCTGCAGACCCCCCGGACCCACTTGGCACTGGCACTGTGTGCAACTCGGCAAGTGAGTGACCGCCCGTGCCGTGGGCGGCAAGAGGGAGGTGTGCTTGCACGGGGCCCATGACACCCACATGCACCATGGCACCGCTCCATGCCGCCCCCATGGGATGACCTCCCGAGGGGCCCACCACGCCCATGGGGTCCCCACCTGTAGTGCGCGCAGTCATGAAGTGAGCACCCATGGGGTCCCCACCTGTACCGTGCGCATGCATGAAGTGTGCAGCCATGGGGTTCACGACCGTGCTGTGCGCATGCATGGCGGGTGCACCCATGAGCATGGCGTCAAACTCGCCCCACATCATCTCCTCCTCCACTCCCATGCCGCCTGTTGCTGCTGCTCCCGCTGCTGCTGCACCTTCTGCACCTGCTGCTGCTCCTGCTGCCGTGCCCTCTGCCGCTGCTGCCCCCACGTGCCAGGCCCCTTGGAGGGAGGGCGCGAATGGCCTCCTGTGTGCCACAAACGAATTGTTGGCGAGAGAAAGTGGGCTAATAGCGGGAGCAAGAGAGGTCGTGGATGCTGGGTGCTGCCCTGGCAGGGGTGTGGCGGAGCGGGAGTTAGGCGTGCCTTGGGCATGGGGAACGCGAGGGGCGGAGGCGGAGTGGGGGAACGCTGTTGCGGGCGCGGAGTGGGGCCGCAGGGGGATGGGTTGCGCGTGGGGGAGGAATGGCGGTGGGGAGTGGGGCGTGAGGGGTATGGGAGCGGAGTGGGGGAGGAGCGGCAAGGGGGCGGAGTGGGGGGGGAGAGGCATGGAGGCAGAGTGAGGGAAGAGGGGCATGTGGGGGAGGCGGGGGATGGGGGGAGGCCAGGAGGCAGAAGCAGGAGGGAGAGCAGCGTGCGTGGACCAGCCAGTCGGACCTGGTCCATCTGGTCTCGCTCCTGCTGCCTCTGAGCCATCCGCCACGCCTGCCCAGCCACCCGCAACACCACCACCAGCACCGCTACTAGTACCAGCATCGCCAGCGCATGCAGCAGCAGCAGCAGAAGCAGCAGCAGCAGCAGCAGCAGCAGTGGGTGGAGCGCGAAAGGCAGCAGCGCCACTCCATCCGCCTGCCACTCTGGGAGCGGGGGGACCCATGCGCTGCTGCGCGGATCCTGCCTGCCACCTCTCCGCCACGCCACTGCGACCGCCCCCCCCTACCATCCCCCCAGCCTCTGCGCCTCCTGTCCCTCCGCCGCCCACCGCGCCTGCCACAGCACCTGAATTCCAGACCCCAGGATAACTCCACTGCCCCATGCCGCCCCCTCCCTGCGTTACCACCCCCGCTCCGCCTGCGGTTTCTCTGCTTCCTACTGTGGCCCCCTGCTCTCCTGCGCTCCCCACCAGCCGCCGTCGCACGCGCTCCGCCCTGCTGCCCCACGTCCGCCCCTCCGCCGCTCCGCCCCATCCGTCTCCGCCAGCGATGGCCCTCTCGCCGCGCTCGCCGCCACTCGTCCGCGGGCGAATGGCGGAACGACCGCCGCTCGCTGTCATGCTGCGTGCATGAACAGGTTCGGAGAGAGCGCCGCTGGTGCTGGGCCCGTGCGGGGAGGCAGGCTCCGCGGAGGGGCGGCGCAGATGAGCGGTGAGGGCGCGCACCATGGCCTCTCGACTCGCTTCGAACGCGCTGAAACGCGCCGCGCTGCCGTCCAAGCTGCTGCTGCTGCTGCTGCCACTCGCGCCGTCCGCCCGCGTTGCGCGTGCGCCTCTGCCTACCAGAGTCCCGCTTCGGGGGGAAAAGGCGCATCCATCGCTTTCCCCCCGCCGAGAGTCAATTCTCCGCGGGATTTCCTGTGTTTCGTAGGCGAGAGACGCGGAGTTGGAGCGCGGAAGATGCGCGATGATGTCTTCTATTCCGCCGTCGCCACGCGCTTGGTTGCTATGGCGTGCTTCCGCGGATGTTTCTGACATGTTGTGCGCGCTAGAGTCCGATCCCGTCGTTCCGACCACTCGCGCCTCCCCGTCGCCCGTGTGCGCACGTTCCGAATCCCGCGCATTGCGAGGTGCTGCGCGCCGTGTCGCTGCGGTCGCCATTTCCCGCGCGCGGTCCTGCGCTTCCAGTTCCGCCAATGCGCGCGCAAGCGGAAAGTCGCGAGCGTCCGCCCCACGTAGGCGCGCATCCGCCGCGGGCGCAACTTCACTGCAGCGTGCGCCCATGCGCATCCCTGAGGGAACCCCCGAAGACGCTACTGCTGCATCAGGCGCTATATTCCCGTCCTCGCACCGGGCCGCGCATTTCGCATGGTGTGCTCGTTCTGGGGGGAGGACAGCGCGCCGCGGCGATGCGACGGGATGTAGCGAGTGGAGAGCGGAAGGCGAGCGGGGGGATGGCAACGGGGAGGAGGGGAACGGCGGAGAGTCGCTCATTTCGGACAGCAGGCTCGCGAGCAGCTGCACGGACATCACGTCTGGCGCCTCGCCCTTGAATTTTCCCAAAGGACCTTCAACGCGCGCCAAAAGCTCATCATACGCGTTCGCAATGCGCATCCCCGAGGCGCCGTCCGAATTTGGGGTAACGGTTCTATGGGAAGTCGAAGCGCGAGCGGCGGACATAGTGACGGGAAAACGGGGAAATGACGGAGTTATTGCGAAGATATTTGATTCCCGTTGAGAAAGCGAGGACTGTGCGTTCACCGTATATTGTGCCGCTGTTTGCGCAAGACCGGTCTCGTGATCCCCGGCTGTAATTCCACCGCCGACTGCGTTGGCATCATGGCGCAACTCGCTCGCATCTTTCTCCATAATCAGGCAAGGGCCTCCTGACGGATTCGATGAGTAAGCTACATTAGACGGGGAACTTGAAAGAGGGACGCGAATGCTAGGTATGTGAATGTGGATCTTGATAAGAGGTGGTGTGAAATGTGGAGCAAAATGTCTGGTTGCGGAAAGCAACAGATTGAATGCTCTTGGGAAGTTGAGACAGATGGAGATGCGACTAGTGGGTGGATGGTGCTTCCCCTCCCCTCCCCACCCCACCCCACAGTCAGATAGTCAACCAGCGACTCACCCATTACGAGCTACTCACCCATTACGAAATGTGCTTCCGAGCCGCGAACGGAACATCCGCGTTGCGATTTGGCATTGCCTCAGCTCCTTGGCTGGCCGAATGGGGCTGCCCAGTTCAAATCCAAGGGCATCTCTCCTGGCGCCAGTCAAAATTGAACTTTCCGTCAGAGATGCAATGCAGTTTATGTATGTTCTGTTCGGTATCGAGGGAAAGCGTTCGGTCTTGTCTTTCGACACCGTGGGGACACCCCCTTGCATACTCGACCAATCACGGCCCTCAACGCTTTGTGGTCTATGCGGTGCGGTGTCAATTGTCAACATGCCCCACAACAGTGCATGAAGGGAGCGGCACAGCGAAGGTGCGGGCGAGCTTCTTCTGCCTGCTGCTTGAAGCCAAGCGAACTGCAATATGCAGCGTTGTCGTCGGATGGTCGGCAAACGGGGCAACGTGGAGGGCAACAGTGCTAGCATGCGCACATGCCTTTCGAAACTCTACCAGACAGCTGTCCTTTTTGCAAACGTGTCAGCCTGAGGCAGGGAATGCATGCATGGTCACAGACTTCAGAGCAGGGCCAACGAGGCTGTAGTACAAACGAATCAGGCCGAGATTGTAGAATTTAGAGCCAATCAGCATTCACTCTGACACATTGGAGTTGGAGGGGGAAGGAATGCATGAACACGGAGGGGGGAGGCGGACGGTGCTTCCGTTTCGTCCCGGCCCGGCTCGGTGTGTGTACACAGTGCAGCAGTGACCTGTACATTGGATAACAGCCTTGTCAGCGCAATTCAAAATAATGTACAGTCGATGCTCAGACTATCACAAACAATTTGCTCATGACAATTAGAGATTTAGTCACTCGCGAACGTTTTGCCCGTGAGTGACTAAATTGACCATTGTGCTGATTTCGGGGTGCAGTCACCAAGTTGCGGAAGAAACACATCTACAGTTCATAAACAACAACGGTTGCCTGTCATCAGAAATGTTGACATGGTTACGAAATTAAAGCCATAGACTCGGTTCACATTGCAATTTCATATTACAGTCACAATTTTGCCCGTGGCGACAAGGGCGAATGTGGCGAAATACCTAAAACACTTTTCATGCACATGCCTCCCGCCTACCTGGTGTTCTCGTAATGGGCACCGACTGTATCCCCGGCTTAGTCCATCAACAGTAAGAATCCTTTTAAAGCTCGCGTCTCTAATTTCCAACCGTTTAACACTTGGTTGGGTTTGCAAGGTTTGATTGGGTAACGAAAGTCGAAATATTTGACGAGTGGGCGAAAAAAACACAGCGAACTCCAAAAGATCGAGGCCAAAACAAACCAGGGTGGGTTGGTTTGGGGGGAAACCGAGGCAAGGGTGACAGGTTTGGTCCTGGGTTCTGTCAACGTTCAGTTCAGAGTCTCATATTTTTGGGAGTTGTAAACACTTGGTGTGCACGGGGAAGTGTGCGACAGCCAACTTTCCCAACCACCCCTTGCTTTGGTGTGCTTCGCGACAAACTCTGCTGTTACCGGATTCCAACCGTTTAACACTTGGTTGGATGGCAGAAATATGAGACGCGAGCTTTAATGACCAGAATTGCTGACCGTTTTTCCTCCCTTTCCAGCATCAAGCACACGTGCATGGAGTGCTGCTCGTCCAACCCTGAAGCTTCAGTGCTTGTCCGTCCATGGAGTTAATGCTTGGCGGCAAGTCTGCTGTCTGCACCAGGGCTCACGTTATCAGGGCAATTACCCTGGTTTGACTTAAATTATAGGGTTTTTTTCGAAGATTGTCGTCATTTTCATTAGGTGATGTTTAAGAAATCCCGTACAATTGAAGGGTGATTTCTTAAGCAACTCGGATCCTCCGGGATGTTTCTGAGGGGACCCGTATAGTTCTAGCAACAATTGTTCTCCTCGACCTGCTTTGCATTCCCCTCCTCTCCCCGTGTACTATGTGTGGGCCAACTTTAGTGGAATTTCCTTACCACTCGCTCCTGGTTTGGCCTTCAAGTGTCTGATTGCCCCGTCCTACGTAGGAATGGGTCAGACTTTACTCTTCCAGAGATTTTCTTCTAAGTCAGCAAAACGTTTCTCTCCAAACCTCTAGAGCCGAACCTACATCCCCAACCTCCCCAGCCCTAGTGCCGTGAGTTTCTCGATCTCTCCCCCATTCCTCGAAATTTTGGTAATGCAGGTTTTCAGGCCTTTTCTGACTAGAATCCGGATTCGTCAAGGCTTTTTTTCACCTGGCTCGGATTTTACAGGATCTTTTCCACAGGGGCCCGGATCGTCCGGGCTAGCAAAAATCCTAGCAATAGCCCTGGTCTGCACTTGACGTCATGACGTCAGACACCGCCCACCCACCAATCCAACGTTGAAGTGCCCGTGCTGACGTTCCCGCTAAGTTGATTCAGTGTATTGGATTGCATTATGGTGGAGCATTTAGCCGTCCTGAGCCTACACCTGGCCGTGGGGATTTTAGCTAACATGCACGCAAAGCCTATCCACAAATTATACATAATCAAAATTGTAAATTCTATACAAAGGTGGCGTATAGTGTTGACGTCATGTAACCTTTTGTGGCAATGAATAGTATTGTGTTGTGTGTCTTTGGTGGCTTCTGTCTGTATACCGTAATTCTTAAAGCTCGCGTCTCATATTTACATGCATTTGGTTGGGTATGCACGTCCGTGATTGGTTCCGCCATAAACGTACCCCAACTCGTCACATATTTTGTCATTCGTCAACCAGTCACGGAACCCAACCAAGTGTTTAACCCAACCAAGTGTAAAACGGAGAAAAATATGAGACGCGAGCTTTAAGGACTGAACTTAATGACCAAGGTTAGATGTCTTTCAAATCTTCCCGCCGCCAGTTTGTACCGTCAGGTGATGCTGAGGTACAGCATTGCTCAACTGTGCAGTACTAGCCACAATTGCAAGCCTGTGAGGCTGTCTTGTGATTCCTTCGAGGCACGGGTTGCAGCTTTCTCGCAATCACGTACCGTATGACCGCATGGCTTCTTAGAAACTTCTTGTTGCCAGAATGGGTTAGCTGGGAACAGCTGAACCATTCATGGTCCACTTCTCTAGCAGGAAGGAAAGGAACCAGCCAGCTCAATGAAAAAGTGAGGCACATCACGGGGAATGAGCAACGCTCACTGGAGCATGCACTAGTACAGGGTTGCAGCAGCTTGCAGACCTTTCAACAAAGATCTCTCAACCAAGTCCACCTGCCCTCACCACCAACCAACCCATGCCGCCTATGACATGTTTGCCCTTCTTCACCAGCATCACATAATGTAAGCTGTCATTTTCAGAACATCCTGTGTGACTGCTGTGCCCAACCATTACTCATCCGCTGGAGTGAAAGTCAGTGACACGCTGTTCACGCAGTGCCTCTCATCCGTGGGCGTGGGGAACCCCTCGCCCTTGAACACGTGCCCCAGGTGCCCCCCACATGCCGCACACACAATCTCCACTCGCCGCCCATCCGCATCAACGTTTCTCTTGATGGCTCCGGGCAGCCCGTCGAAGAAAGCGGGCCAGCCGCAGCCGGAGTTGAACTTGGTGGTGGACTTGTACAGGGGCGCGCCGCAGCCACCACAGTTGTACACCCCCTCGTCGTAGTGCTTGTTGTACTGTCCTGTACCGGGGTACCTGAAAACGCGAACATGTGGTGGATGCAGATTAAGAAGGGATGCACAGGGGAATCATTAGAGCCCACGTGGTATCCTTAGAGCCCACGTGGTATCCTTAGAGGCCACGTGGTATCCTTAGAGCCCACGTGGTATCCTTAGGGGCCACGTGGTATCCTTGGAGCCCACGTGGTATTTTTAGGGGCCACCAGAGACGACGGGTAGGCCCACTTAGCAAACCTGACGTCCATGAACTTTGCATTGCGCGCTTTCACCTGCCGTGAGTTCGGTTCTTTTATAAGCTCGTTCGCTTTCCTCCACTCAGAAATCAATTCGGGCTGTCTCAGACTTACCTGCGCTGAACCGCAGCCTAAGTGTTGGTTATTTATTGCTCATGTGATATTTTTTGCAAGAGCAAAGGCCTCGTTCCTTACTCTTGGTTCCCTCCCCGCCAACTCACTCGGTGCCTTTCATCCTCAGAATCCGGAACTGCTCAGGCGACAGGATCGCTCGCCATTCCTCCTCGCTCTTCGCTACCGCCATCGGCGCGTCCTCTCCGCCTCCCCCGCTCGCCTGCGCGCTGCCAGGCCGCGCCCACGACGACGCAACGACGACGCCCAGCAACACCGACCTCACTGCCGTAGCCCTACCAGCAGCTGCCACGTGTCCCGGTGATCGCAACGCTAGGGGAAGGCTATGATTTCGGCCTAGTTGCTTGTTTGCGAGAAGCGAGGATGCAGATAGAGGCACCGAGAGCAGGGATGCTGTGGTGGCCATGAAAAGGCTCGTAAATGGAATTTATGCACGATGGCGGTGACTATGGATGCTTACAGAACACGGCAACAGATGACTGAGGATTCAGAGATGCTGAGCCGCCGGGAAGTAGAGAGACGTCGACGGAACCGCAGCAGTGGAGGAATTGGAAGAATCGCAGTTGAGCAGAGAAAGCGGAGGGATTCGGTAATTGAAGGTGGAAGGAAGGTGAGGCGAGGGCGAGGAAGATTCGAACACGCTATTGCACGCTCCGTTTACCTCAAATACCACATTGGACCTTCTTGGACGACGTGGCAGTTTGGGACCTTCTTCAACGACGTGGCAGGCTTCACAAACTGCCATGTCGACTTCCCACTCCGAACCCAATTCTGAACCTCGCTGAAGCCAGATCCGCTTGTAGCGTCTGACGTGCACCGGTTATTTTCTTCAACGCGTAGGAATCCAACCTAGATTGCAGCAAACCAAATAGCGCCCACATTCCAAGGCCCACCATGTTCAGATGGATTCGAGGGATAGACTCGCTGCCAGCTTGCTCGAGGCGAACGTGTCATCTGCTAACACGCAATACCTTTCGACGCGCGCGAGACGCGAGACCTGCGCATGCATGGCAGCAGCAGCCATGGCTGGATGGAACTCCCTCGCGCCACGGAAGCGTCGTTACTATGTCGCAGCGAGCTACTATTATCGGGATTCTCGTGGTCCTGTTCTCCACGCGCGCTGTATCCGCTGGCTTTCTCCCGGCGCTACCGCTTCGCGCTCTCGCCGCGCTCTCGCCGCGCTCTCGCCGCGCTCTCTCCGCACCCACTCTTTCCGCCGCTAGGCCTCCTTCCGCCAATCAGTCGTCCAGCAGCGCCCGTCGCTCGCCGCGTGGGACCGTTGTCTCCACCTCATCCTCCTCGTCGTCCTCTTTCGGTCACTTTAGTCTCCTCTCCCTTTCACTCGCTCGTTCCAGCGTTGCCGATTGATAAGCAGCCGCCCTTCGCGCGGTCAGATTCTTCCAAAGCGGTACCGCTATGATGATCTTCAAGTTCGCGCGAAACGCACGTCTCCTTTGCCATGTCATACCACTTCTTGCTGCCGTGGCGCTCGCTCAGTGGATGCTAGCGTGCCACGTCAGCGCGCAGCCTGGGCCAATTACGTTCCGCGTTGACCCGCGAAGGTCAAATCTGACGTGGGACTCGGAGATTCCGCCGAAAGAAGGGCAGCTCGCATCGGTTGTCGTTACTCCGGGAGGCTTCCCCCTGGCAGGCACTGTAACGGTGGATGTGATCGAGTGCACGGATATAAGAACGTCCTTCAATATCACCCAGGTGTGCGTGGGAGTGGCTGCAGCAGCTGACCTCAGCAGCCCACAAAATGCGGAAAGTGGATTTGCCGCTTCTTTCTTTCGCCACCCCTTCAGCACCCCATCATTTCGACCTGCGCCTCGTTACTTCCCCTCACTCTCCGCACCCCCTGTCCCCCAACCTCCATTCCCCCTCGTCTCCTTCCTCCCCCGCGCCCCGTTCCCCCCTCCCCCCAGGCGCGCATCAGCAACACGTCGCTGATGGGCATCACACCCGCGGGTCGACCGGCGCCAGCGTCCATTGTGGCGCAGGCCAACGCCACCGGCACCATCGCCGCCTTCGCTCCCACGCTCAACCTCTCCAGTGCGCACCCTCACTCTCCATCTTCCCGTCAGTCCCGTGCATTTCTCCCTCCTTTTCCTCCCTCTCCCCTCCCTCTCTCCCCTCCCTCCCTTTTTTCCTATTTCCTGCCTCTCTTTGCTCCCTCTCCTTCTTTCTCTCCCCCCACATTCTGCTCTATTGCCCACCATCTTCTTACCGTGCCTCACTCCCCTTGTGTCTTTACCCCCCCTTCCCCCCCCCTTGCTAACCCTCCCCTCCCAATCTCCTCATGCCGAGCCTAATCAGCCTCGGAAGTGCCGCCATTCGCCATCGACCAGACGTACGGCTCCTTCCAGTCCGCGTGGACCGTGCCCACTGCCACGTGGCGCGCTGTGAGAGGCTTCTTCGCCCCCAGCAGGGACTTTGGCGGCGGCCCCTTTGCTTCCAGCAACCTCACGGCCCCCCTCGCCTCGTTTGGCTTCATTAACGGCCACCTGAGCACTGTGAGTGTGACACCTGAGCACTGTGAGTGAGACACCTGAGCACCGTGAGTGAGACACCTGAGCACTGTGAGTGAGACACCTGAGCACTGCATGTGCGTGTGAGGCTATTGATTGCGCCTGTCAAGCTATTCGTCCTTCCTTTCACGCGGAATTACCGTTTGTTGCACCCCACCGTTCCTGCATTCGCCATTGTGCTCGCTCCCCTTCCCGTCCCCTGTTCCTCTCCTCCCCTCTCCCCTCTCCGCCCGCTGTCCTCTGCGTGCCCTCCTCTCCCCCTCCCCCACATGCAGGTAGCAGCGAACCAGTCACAGGTGCACCTCTTCATCAACTCCACTGCCGTCTTCACTGCCCGGTGCGCTCAATGGGGGAGGGAGTGGGGGGGGAGAGGGTGGGAGGGAGGGAAGGGGGGAGAGAGGGGAAGGGAGAAAACGTCAAGAGGTCAAGAGAGAATGTGGAGGAGAAGGGATGTGTGCAGAGGGGGGGTTGTCATTCGTCCGTATCCTTCCTGCCTCTGTGCTCATGCCAGACCATGGCAGACGGCTGTTGAGTTCCAGTGCATGTGAAATGAGACCAAGTTTTGAGTCGACTTAAAGCTCGCCTCATCATATGCACACAGGCATGCCAGCTCAACCCATCTTATCCTCTTCTGACCACTCCCCTTTCCTTCCACCATCGGTCCTACCCACACTGCCCTTCCCTCACATGCATCCATGGCAGGCAGCTGCTGCTGACGGCCAATGCATCGGCGTCAATAATGAACATAGTGATGGGGCAGGGCCACGTGCGCATGCGCATCCTGCTCACCGGCCTTGCTGACAACCCCTGTGCCGTCGCCCCCACACCCCCCTCGTCACGCCCGCGCCCTTGACTTCTCTTGACTTGTCCTGACCTGCGTTGATCCACACCAGCTTGGTTGGTCTAGTGAGAGCGGGCTGCTGCTTAGGCATAGAAGTAGTTCAAACATTCTGTTGCATTGATGGGAAACTGGGTTCTGGCAGTCTTTAATGCTCAGCCCAGACATGTGCTACAAGTTAATGTGTTCCTTTCCTTCCAACAGCCAGAAGCGCGTGCATATCCAACATTATGCTGTGAGAGCTCACCTACTCTAGCTCATAGGTTGAGGCAGAGGACACAGAACAGACACTACTAGTACAGATGGAAATCCACCAATATCACTTACGGTATGAGGATCTCTGAAATTATAAAGTATTCTCTATCGCTCACATGCAAACAATCCAGAGTCATAAGGTAAACGTTTCCAGTTATTGTAATCACTAGATGTATGTACAGCTAAACAGACAGCATGATGAATTATGTACCGAGACTTCCACATCTTGAAAATTACACAGATAAACTACCGGTATTACAGTACATGCCAGTTCCCTTGCCAGCAACTATTTACACAGCCCAAGGGTCGCAACCGCGCAGGCCTACAGATCGAGGTTGGGAGTGGACTGGACACCACTTGGCTTCCCAACCCAAGCAAGCACCCACCCAAGGTACTGTCAGGGTGGGGTTCAGGGGCACAAGCTGGGCTCCAAGCAGCCGTTAATGTAGCGGCTCTCAACCCACACTTCCTTCTCCCCCTGCCCCATACCCCCTTCCCCATCTCGTGCCTTCCCCCCACAGGCGCGCTACCCCGTGTGGGCGGGGTCCAGCGGTTCAAGGTCGGCCTTGGCTGGCCCGTTGATGCAGCGGCCTCGGTGGTCGAACTGGGAGCCGTGGCACGGGCAGTCAAAGGTGGCGTCGTTGGGGTTCCAGTGCACGCTGCACCCCATGTGCGGGCATGTTGCTGGAGGGAGGGGAAGGGATGAGGGGTGTGGGGGGGGAGAGGGGAGAGAAATCCAGGTGGGTTTCTACGCGCCTGTTACACTGTCGTTGGGGTTCCAGTGCACGCTGCACCCCATGTGCGGACATGTGGCCGAGGGGGAGGGGAAGGGACGAGGGGCGGGGGGGGGGAAGAGGAGAGAGAAAGCCAGGTGGTGTTTGAGGCGCCTAGAACACTGTGGTTCGGGTTCCAGTGCACGCTGCACCCCATGTGCGGACATGTCACTGGGGGAAAGGGGATAGGGAGGGAACAAAAAGGGGGGGGGGAAGGGAAAGTCAGGCTTCTGAGGCACCCACCACACAGCCGTTGGGGTTCCAGTGCACGCTGCACCCCATGTGCGGACATGTCACTGGGGGAAAGGGGATAGGGAGGGAACAAAAAGGGGGGGGGGAAGGGAAAGTCAGGCTTCTGAGGCACCCACCACACAGCCGTTGGGGTTCCAGTGCACGCTGCACCCCATGTGCGGACATGTCACTGGGGGAAAGGGGATAGGGAGGGAACAAAAAGGGGGGGGGGAAGGGAAAGTCAGGCTTCTGAGGCACCCACCACACAGCCGTTGGGGTTCCAGTGCACGCTGCACCCCATGTGCGGACATGTCACTGGGGGAAAGGGGATAGGGAGGGAACAAAAAGGGGGGGGGGAAGGGAAAGTCAGGCTTCTGAGGCACCCACCACACAGCCGTTGGGGTTCCAGTGCACGCTGCACCCCATGTGCGGACATGTCACTGGGGGAAAGGGGATAGGGAGGGAACAAAAAGGGGGGGGGGGAAGGGAAAGTCAGGCTTCTGAGGCACCCACCACACAGCCGTTGGGGTTCCAGTGCACGCTGCACCCCATGTGCGGACATGTCACTGGGGGAAAGGGGATAGGGAGGGAACAAAAAGGGGGGGGGGAAGGGAAAGTCAGGCTTCTGAGGCACCCACCACACAGCCGTTGGGGTTCCAGTGCACGCTGCACCCCATGTGCGGACATGTCGCTGGGGGAGGGGAAGGGAATTTCGAAGGGAGGGAAGAAAAAGTGAGGTAGGTTCTGATGCACTTAACATATGACTGCACGACTGGCATGTGGCAGAGACTGCGTTGTGGGCCCCTATAGAAGAGCACACGCAGAATGGTGCTTCATGCATAACCTCCCCCCCTGCAAAACTCACACGCCCCTCTCTCGCACCTGCAGCAGAGCACTCCCACAACAGGCCATACACACACACCCAGCATACACACCCCCACAGGCAGCACAGACCAGAGAAGGCGTGCACGCGGCCGTCCTTATCGCGGAACACAGCGGCCTTGCCCACGCCCATGCGCACCACCGCCCCGCACCCGCGCCCCAGGTCCTCCATCTCCACGCCGTCCGTGCCCACCAGGGGCAAGCGGTCCTTGTACCCCTGCCATCCGCGGGTGGCGAGAGCACAAGGGAGGAATGGGAGCGCACAGGTCACAGTGAGGCGGTTGCATGGATGGACCACAGTGCGCTCCCCCGCGCCCCAAATCCTCCATCTCCACCCCATCCGTGCCCACCAGCGGCAAGCGGTCCTTGTACCCCTGCCGTGCAGAAAGGGGTGGTGGTGGTGGGAGCACGGTGGTGGAATATGGCAGCACACACACAGGTGGCAGTGAGGCGGGTGCATGGCTGCACAATGGGCCGTGCTCGCCACGCCAGCCGTCTATGGCCACTAGTGCATTGGGAGGCGAGGGGCTGTGATCCATGGGGTCGGGCAATGAGGTGCATGGGGACGGCTCTGCCCACCTGCAGGTGTGTTGACTGGAGCAGGTGGTACCTGCAGCGGGTGTTGACCGGAGCAGGTGGTACCTGCAGCGGGTGTTGACCGGAGCAGGTGGTACCTGAAAGGTGTGGCTGAAAACAGAGCCAGCCAGTGATAGTGACTCCTTGGATATGGGCGGCAGGCGCGAGGGCGAGTAGATCTCCACGAACGGGTTCGGGCAGCGGCAGATGAGATCGGATATGATCATGGCGGCTATGGTGCCGCCTGTCATGCCCTGCCCACTGTCACCTGCATTGTGGTGGAACGGTGGGAGGGTGGCGTGAGAGCGTGGGGGAAACAAGAGGGGATTGAGGGAGATGGAAAGAGTGGGAGGGGCAATCTGGGAGGGAGCAGGGGAGGTGAAATGACAGACTGTTGGACATGCAGTCGCCGCATTGCATGTTGCTCCCGTTGGCTGGCCAGACATGCCACAGCGTACCAGTGGCAGTGTATTTGACAGTGCATGTGACTGTGCGTGGGTGCAGGTGGAGCCATGCGAGGCAAGAGCGTACCAGTGGCGATGTAGGTGTGAGTGGAGTCCATGGGGTTGCGCCCGTACAGCCCCAGAAAGTCCACCGGCTCGTACACCTGCCACGCATGGGACGGCAGCGTGGGGCAGCAGCATGGGAGGGCAGCAGGGAAGAGCAGGGAGAGAATACAAAAGATTGCCATGGGGAGGCACTGATGGGGTCAGCAGATGCGGCAGTTGGGAGTAATGGAACGAGCCTGAGCTCGCACACAGCAGCCCGTGCCATGCACCACCCACCACTCTTCCCCGAGGATGGGACTGAGGATGGGACTGAGGATGGGACTGAGGATGGGGACACCATGCCCCACCCCCCACCACCACGCGTGGCCACACCCCTCCCCAACCACCACCGTTCACCACCCCCACCCGTGCCCACGCACCATGCCACTCCAGCGGAAGAGCGTCTCCTGCGCCATGGGCCAGCGGGGGCGTGCCCAACGCTCCAGGTCGCTCCACACGTCGTGGTACTGGCCTGCAGGCATGCCCACGGGGTGGTCGCCTCCCCCCACCACCAGCACGTCCCGCCCCTCCTGCTCCTCCACGCGCACGTAGTGGTACGGGGACGCCGTGTCCCACCAGTTGGCTCGCCTGCCGGGGGCGGCAGGGGACGCAAGGGGGGAGGAAACAGTGCTGTGTGCTTGGTGCTTGCTTCGCCGAAGCGGGAGGGAGGCCAAGGCTGCGACAGTGCAAAGGCCAAGGCGCAATTACGGAGAAACCGTGGCTCAGCTCCGATCCCTTCTGCCCATGAACAGAGCGCGCTGCGCCCCACTAACAGCTAACCCAGCCCAGCACACGCCCACACGCCCACACGCACTTGACAGAGCCCTTGGGCAGGTGGAGCCCCACGACGTAGCTCCTGTCAGCGGGCTGGCGGGCGTGCACGAGGAGGTTGTGGTTGATGGGCGAGTTGGTGGCCAGCACCACCGCCCCCGCGTGCACCACGCCCCGCCCGTCCTTAGTCGCCACCACCGCCCCCGCCCCAGCGCCCGTCACCGACCCCTCCTCGCGGAACGCCACTGTCTGCTCGAAGATGCGCCCCCCCTGACGTACAAACGCGTCTGCCAGCCCGTTCAGGTAACTGGGGGGGAGGGAGGTGAGAGTGCGGGGAGGTAGCAGGGTTGGGAAGGGGAGTGTGTGGGGAGGTAAGGGTGCTGGTGGTAGGTGTAGGGATGGGGGACGAATCTTGAAGGATTATTGCAAGGGAAGGGAGAGCAGGCGCGTACATGAGGGGGTGGAACTCGGCGGTGGAGGGGAAGCAGATGGCGTTGTGCACGGAGCCGAGGGAGGGGTCCCCCTGTAAGTCCGCCATGTACACGTCCGTGAACCCCGCCCTCCTGCACGCCTCGTACTCCTGGGGGGGTTGCGAGTGGTGAAGAAATGAGGGGTTCACTGGAATGAGAAGGCGGAGGATAATGTAACAGGTAATAGTTGAGCTAGAAAATAACAAGGCCACCAATACGTGAGCTGGTTACCCTGCGGGCTGGTTACCCTACGAGGTGGTTACCCTACGAGCTAATTACCAGGTGGAGCATCTCCAGCGTGGAGGCCTTGGAGTCGTGGGGGAAGAGGTATCCGTGGAGGCGCGTGAACTTGCAGTCGATGGCCTCGCGCGCCACGGTCTCCTCGATGCACGCGATGGCCTGCCGGTGCGACTCCGCCACGAGCCCCGTGTTGTCGCGCCCAAAGCTCTTCTCAAGGTTCATGTAGAAGTCGTCGTTCCACGCCATTATGTGCGCCGTCGTCCGCCCCGTCTGCCCCGACCCTGCGCGGCCCCGCACCCCGCGCCCCGCACCCCAAGCGCACATGCGAACGGAGTTAAAGCCCATGAAGCGGATTCCGTGTTGCACCAGAACAGGAAGAAACGGAGTCTCACCAATGCAGCGGCGCTCCAGGAGCACTGTCGACTTCCCCTTGCGCTGCAGTTGATACGCGATGCTCAGCCCCGCGATCCCTCCGCCGATCACAGCCACGTCAGCGTGCACGTGCGACTCGAGCTTGGGGAAGCGCGGCTTGAGGTCCAGCTGCCCCCACACGGTGCGCCTCAGCCCCGGCAGCGGCTCCGCCTCCTGCTGCTCGCGCTCCGACTGCGCTGCGGGGCGCATGCCCGCCATGGCTGCAACGGTCCGATGGAACTGGAAGAAGGGCTGGGTGTGAGCGGCGGGTGGGTGGATCCTAGTACCAGTGACCGCGTGGTTTGGGTCCTCGATAGTAGTAGCCGATTGTTCAGCGCGCTGCGATGGCGTCTGGATGGACGGGATTGCGGCTTGAAGATGCGAAATGCCGCGCAGGATCTGGAAGCGAGTTTCCGACAATAGCGCGGACGAGGGGATGCCTGTGGGGGTGAAAGAGCTGCGCGCGAGAAAGGCGCGGCAGGCGGGACGCAGCGCTGCAGGGAGGTCGGAGAGGATTGCGCCCGACATAAACCGCACGCGGGGCTAATAGCGAATGCGGAGTTGATCGCGCATGTGAAGGTATACGAAGGATTGGTACTACGGGAGGAGTTAGTGGCAAGGCCGCAGCAGATCGTGCATCCGAATGCGGCCGAGGAAGAGCAGTGAGGGTAACTGGGTGAGAAGGCAGGAGTGCCATTGCGGCGCGGCGTGGAGAAGCGGGTATTGCGACGGAGCAAGCTCGCTGGGAAGGCGAAGATTGAATGGCTGCAGAGGTGGCAAGTCCAAGTGCTTGATCAAGGCGCCTATGGTTGTTGTGATGTGAAGGACGTACTATGTTGGTGTGCATGTGTAATGAGGCGCGATTATGATGACATCTGGCGGAGAAAGGAGCAAACACAACAGCAACGTGAACATTGCGTACGCGACATTGGATGTGAAGACTCCCCTTCATGAAACCTAGCACCTCTACACCGCATTGCATGAATGTCAACGTACAGTCTCCAGATATTTTTGTTGAAGTGCCTGCATTCGCCGAAATGTCGTGTGCATGAACTGGCGGAACCTGGGCGGAAAACATGGGTGGCGGAGAGCACACCTCGGGAGGAGGGCTGGTTGGGTGGTTCTGCCTTGTGACTGTGCTCCCAATTCCCATGGTGACGTGGCTCCTCGTCACGCAAGCGGGAAGTGCATCCAGCGCTGGCATTCACCAGTGTTGCGCGGAGATCCCTGGGCTGTGGCCCTGCCTGCGCCGACATTGTGTCATTTCCGCTCTGACGGGCAACTTCTTCCCCCAAGCACCCGCTGCGCCCACCCCTTCCCGTCCCCTCCCATTCCACACCCAATTCCTTCAAATCCCCGTCAGTGTTTTACTCCCTGCCATTCTCACTTCGAGATCTCCATTCTTTGGTAGGAGCTGTTCTGCTGACCAGCTAGCTATCAGGCTGCTTCCTCGCTTCGGGGAGGCACTTGTGCATAAAGCCGCTATCGCCTCCGTCATCTGTATCGAAACCAGTGATCCTGGATTCTAAGGAAGCCCACTAACTGTCTTGCACATCCCCTCGAATTCTAGCCACCTCTTCACCCCAACACATTCACCTGTCATGGCTTCCCGGATTCTCAGCCGCGTCTCGCGGAGACGCCTGTCCGCCGTCGCGGACTCCGCGTTCCCCTCATACGCGCCCACAGGAGCCCTGCGCGCGTTCGGCGGCGTGCGGTGGTTCGCGACGAGCCCCGAGGAGAACGACATCGTCGTTATCGGCGGTGGGCCCGGCGGGTACGTGGCGGCGATTAAAGCGGCGCAGCTGGGCATGAAGGTCACGTGCGTGGAGAAGCGCGGCGCGTTGGGCGGCACGTGCCTGAACGTGGGGTGCATTCCATCTAAGGTGCGGAACGATAACGGGTGCTGGTAGTTTCAAGGGTTGTCGACCAGATGGCGACTAAGACTGTTGGGAAAAAAACTTGAAGGGATGAACCAAACGAGGCTATTAGGTATTATCACTTGCAAGTCAGGCCACGATATACTGTAACGCGCAGATGAATGCAGTGTATCGCCTTTCTCCCCCGTGCCTCCATCGGTCCGGATGATGGAGCTGTCCGACATTCGCCCCATGCACCCACGCACGCTTGCACCTGTGTAACCGTGCACCTATGCACCCATGCAGCCAGGTAACCATGCTCCCATGCCCTTGCGCCCATGCTCCCATGCACTCGCGCCCATGCTCCCATGCCCTTGCGCCCATGCTCCCATGCACTTGCGCCCATGCTCCCATGCACTTGCGCCCATGCTCCCATGCACTTGCGCCCATGCTCCCATGCACTTGCGCCCATGCTCCCATGCACTTGCGCCCATGCTCCCATGCACTTGCGCCCATGCTCCCATGCACTTGCGCCCATGCTCCCATGCAACGTGCACCCATGCACCATGCGCCCATGCACCCATACTCTCATGCACTATGCCCCGATGCAGCGTGCTCCCATGCACCCATGCTACCATGCACCCATGCTACCATGCACCCATGCTACCATGCACCCATGCTACCATGCACCCATGCTACCATGCACCCATGCTACCATGCACCCATGCTACCATGCACCCATGCTACCATGCACCCATGCTACCATGCACCCATGCTACCATGCACCCATGCTACCATGCACCCATGCTACCATGCACCCATGCTACCATGCACCCATGCTACCATGCACCCATGCTACCATGCACCCATGCTACCATGCACCCATGCTACCATGCACCCATGCTACCATGCACCCATGCTACCATGCACCCATGCTACCATGCACCCATGCTACCATGCACCCATGCTACCATGCACCCATGCTACCATGCACCCATGCTACCATGCACCCATGCTACCATGCACCCATGCTACCATGCACCCATGCTACCATGCACCCATGCTACCATGCACCCATGCTACCATGCACCCATGCTACCATGCACCCATGCTACCATGCACCCATGCTACCATGCACCCAGCTACCATGCACCCATGCTCCCATGCACCCATGCTCCCATGCACCCATGCTCCCATGCACCCATGCTCCCATGCACCCATGCTCCCATAACCATGCTTCCCGCTTCTTTCTATACCCCCCCACCCGTCCCCTCCCCTCCCCATGCACTGCAGGGCTAAGCACTCCCTCTCTGTCCACCTTACCCACCTTTCCTCTTTCCTCCCTGTCCCGGGCCCCTCATGTCCCTCCCCCTCCCTTCCGCTCTCTATCCTCCCCCCTCCTTTCTCCCCTCCCTTCCCCAACCAGGCGCTACTGGAGTCGTCGCACATGTACCACGAGGCGAAGCACTCGTTTGCAGCGCACGGCATCAAGGTGGCGGGCGTGGAGGTGGACCTGCCCGCCATGATGGCTCAGAAGAGCGGCGCCGTCACGGGGCTGACCAAGGGCATCGAGGGGCTGCTCAAGAAGAACAAGGTCACGTACGTCAAGGGCCACGGCAAGCTCGTGGGGCCCAACGAGGTCGCTGTCTCCCTGCTCGACTCCCCCGGGGAGACCAAGAGCATTGGCGCCAAGAACATCATCATTGCCACGGGGTCGGACGTGCGGCCGCTGCCGGGGCTGCAGATCGATGAGAAGAAGATCGTGTCGTCCACGGGTGCGCTGAGTCTGGACGCCGTGCCGAAGAAGCTGGTGGTGGTGGGCGGCGGGGTGATTGGACTGGAGCTGGGGTCGGTGTGGGGGCGGCTGGGCGCGGAGGTGACGGTGGTGGAGTTCATGGATGGTATCGGCGGGTACATGGACAATGAGATCCGCCGCACCTTCCAGCGCGTGCTGCAGAAGCAGGGCTTTAAGTTCATGCTCTCCACTAAAGTCGTCTCCGCTGACGCATCAGGCAACGGCGTGGTGCTGGAGGTAGAGCCGGCCAAGGGCGGTGAGAAAACGAAGCTAGAGGCGGACGTGGTGCTGGTGGCCACGGGGCGCGTCCCTTACACAGACGGGCTGGGACTGGAGGAGGTGGGCGTGCAGAAGGACAAGGCGGGGCGCATTGTGGTGGACGACAAGTTCCGGTCGTCCGTGCCGAGTGTGTTTGCCATCGGGGACGCCATTCCCGGCCCCATGCTCGCTCACAAGGCGGAGGAGGATGGGATTGCGTGCGTGGAGAATCTGGCAGGGAAGCACGGGCACGTGAACTATGCGACGGTGCCGGGAATTATTTACACGCACCCGGAGGTGGCTATGGTGGGTAAGACGGAGGAGGAGGTGAAGGAGTCGGGTGTAGAGTACCGCGTGGGGAAGTTCCCCTTCATGGCGAACAGCCGTGCGCGCACGATCGGGGATTCGGAGGGGATGGTGAAGATCATAGCGGAGAAGGCGAGTGACAAGGTGGTGGGCGTGCACATAGTGGGGCCGAGTGCGGGCGAGCTGATCATGGAGTGTGTTCTGGCCATGGAGTATGGCGCCAGCAGTGAGGACATCGCCCGCACGTGCCACGGCCACCCCACTCTCAGTGAGGCCGTCAAGGAGGCGGCACTGGCCACGCATGGCAAGCCCATCCACATGTGAGGCGCTGCGCACGTGTGTGAAGGGCGCGTGGCATGCACGTGTACTGGTAACCCTCCCTTGCGTGCGTGTGGATTGCCCTCATTGGGCAGTCCTTGTAGCAGAATTCATTGCAGGAACAAGTGAGGTACCGTAGTTTAGTGTGATTCCTGCACGTACATACCCGGTTACTGTATCAGCGCTGGGCTGCATGCACTGACTGCTTGATCGTCTGTTCAGTTCAGCGTTCTGATTTGCTATGATACCTACTCTGCCGATTTGTTTTGCTTCTTTAGCATCAACCTGTAACCTTGCTATTGTCATGGGATGGGAGACATTCATACTGCACTCAATCCAGAAGAGTCTGCTAGTATCAAGCTATCAACACTAGGGCCAAACATAGTGAGGACTACAGCAAGCAATACTGCTGGAAATTAGCTGAGTCAGCCTACCATACCTATGACAAGTTAGCCTTTTCAGGTTAATCTAAAATTATAATGTCAAATCAAAGAAGTTATACTACCAAGCGCCAGTGTTCAGTCAGCTCAACAGCCACTATGGCAGCAACACCTAATCAGCAAAGCAGCTGTTAGCTATCCATCAGTGTTAGAAACCCATCAGTCACACCAATCAGCAAGTGTGAGCGGGCGACACAGCAGCAGCACCTCCAGTGCCACCACGAGTGCCATGAGCTTGCACCCACGCCTCCACCTTGTCTGCTGCACTCGGCACCGCCGCCGCGTGCCATGCACCATGCCGTGCTGCCCATGCTGGCCGTGCTGCCCGTGCCCCCTGTGCTCCAAGCCCCCCCTGCGCTGCCTGTGCTGCTCGCACCGCTCCCGCCCACGGCACGGGCGTGGAGTGCAGCGACTGGGCGTGCGGCAGTGCTGCTGGGCTAGGCAGCAGCTCCCCTTCCCTGCTGCCCTTCAACGTTCCAGCTGTTGCCCTCATCATTGCCCCATTCTTGCCCTCTGCTGACTCCTTGTTGATCCTTGCTCTCCCACCGTCCACCACTCTGAGCCATTCCTCCACTCTCCGGCTTGCCTGGCTGGTTGCCTCTCTGGGTGCGTCCTTGCCTGCCTCCCTGATCCCCCTCCCTCTCTCACCACGTTCAATCCAAGAACCATGACGGGCTGCTATGGCTGCCGTCGAGTTGGCAAGTGCTGAGCTGGAAGCCCCACCAGCTGACCTGGCATGTGCCAATGCATGTGCCGAGTCCCCACTGCCCTCCGTGCCCTCCCTTGCAGCACGAGCAAGCTTAGTGCTTCTCTCCACTGCTGCACGCTCACCCACATCGGCACTACCAGCTGCTACCGCCTCCCCTCTCTTCATCCCATGCACCAACTTCCCAATATTCAAGCTGGCAAGCTTATCCGCCACGTCAGCAGCCACGGCGGCACCTCGGTGCTCCCTCACGGAATCCTGCACGTCCAGGCTGGCAGCGGGAGTGAAGAAGTCCTCATGGTGTTCCACCGTCCACGACAAGTCAGAGTCCCACAGCAGCCACCCCGCCCCCGCCCGCGCCTCTGCCACGCACCCCTCCTCTGCTGCGCTCTCCGTGTCCCCGCACGCGCCCGCCTGGGCTCCCGCGCGCTGTGATTGCGGTTTGAGGGTTTGAGTGCACCCTGCCTCAGCTGCTGGCGTGGCAGCACGGGGCGCAGTAGCGGAGCGGGTTGCACGTGCTGGGGAGGCGACAGGTGAAGCGCACTCCGTTAATCCACACAACTCGTCCGCAGGATGCGCCACGTCAGCATCGCGATCCAAGGCCATCGTATTGACAAATGGGAGCGCGGAGAGGGCAGCGAGGGCGGCGCCGTGGGCGGCGGACTCAAGTGAGGGGGATGGGGGAGCGGGGGCAGCGGACGCGGGGGAGCGCCACGGCACTGCGCGCAGCGCCTGCTGGGGGCGACGATGGCCGCGCCGCGGTTTCACTCTCCCTCCCGTCGCCACGTCTGCGCGCTGATCTGATTCGTCAACCACTATCTGCTGACTCCCTTCGTTAACAGAACATTTCGTTTCTGTCACCTGCTGCAGCGACTGCTGCTGCTTACGATGCGCGACCGCGGAAACCGTTAGTCCGGCGCCACCGCCAGAAGCGGCGGAGGACGCGGAGCACTCAGCTGCAAGACCCTCCGCGCGGAAGGTCCCAGGAAGCTGCGGCGGGATGTGGGGAACGTCCCCGGAAAGTCCGAGCGGCTGCTGCGCGGCGAGGTCGCGCACCACCTTGCGCCAGTACGCGCGCGTCTTGCTGTGCTTCGTGCCCCGCGGACCACCTGCGCAGGAGGGATGGGGGAAGGGAGGATCAATTGCGGAAGAGGTTACGACAGGAACGCGGGGAGAAACAGGTCGGGAAACCAGATAAATCACGACAAACAGGGTGTCAAGTATGGTACGTTAGGGCACGATACGATTCGGGTGGTGTGGTGGAAGGGGCTCGGCGCGCACCGTTGTGGAACTTGGCGAGGAGCTCCCAGTCGTGCGCGCGGATGGCGCCAGGGCAGTAGCGCAGCCAGTACCGCACCACCGTGTCCTCCGCGTGCGCCAGCTCGCGACACGCCGTCCACCGGCCGGCACGGTGGCCCCACGCGTCGCGGTGATACTCCTCCGAAATCTGCAGCGGCCCGATGCTGCTTCCCGCGTCGCCGTCCGGGCAGTTCACCCTGGGGGGTTGCGACGGCGAGAGTCGAGGGGTGAAGGGGGGAGGCGGGATCAGTGGGAGAAGCGCTGAATGACACGATCGGAGAGACACGTGGTGGCAATCCGCGGCGCAGATACATCCCCTTCCGAAGAGCGACGACGCATTGCGCTGCCCTACCTGTTGCTGGACTCGATGAACCGCAGCGCGTTCAGCAACGGCCGCAGCTCCCGCTTCGCGACCTCCAGCTCCCTATGCGGCACGCGCTGGCCGCGGCAGCCTCTAGACGCGCTGCGCAGAGCCGCGCCGCCCACAATGGACCCCTTGTCCCGCTCCGTTTCCGAGCCAAACGCTGTGCCGAGCCACACGCCATGCCGAGCCATAACGAGGTTCGGCGGTTTGGAAGCATCTAGGTTTGTGGCGTTGTTGCACCCCATTGGAGGAGCGATAAGCGCGAGCGTGCAAGCACGGAGAGGGTGGAGTGGAGAGGGAAGGAACGACAACGGGCTGTTGCTAAAGCCGCGGTCTATCAATGGCTGACTGACTTACGAAAGGGGTCTGGCTAACTGACCACCAGTGGCTGGCTCACTCTCAATCAAAAGCTGCTGCGGGTAAGGACGATCGACAACACCAATCAACCAGACTTACGCCAATGGAAAACCTGAAAAGCGTTTATGTAAAACCTAAAACGACAGCGGCTCTGCAAGCGACGGCAGTCAGGAGACCGACGAGCACGCTGCGCTTGGTTCGCAATTGGCAGAGCAGGTTGGTCAGGTTTGGCAGACGAGGTATTGGTTGGTGCGAGTGAGCAGGTGAGGAGGAGGGGAGGTCGAAGGAAGAGGGGCGAATTACGAGTTTCAGGGAAGCGGTTTGTGAATTGTGGCTGTGGTTGCGGCGCTAGGAGTGACGGTGACGCGTGGCGCAAGCGTAACTTGAAACTCATCCTAAGCCGTATAATGCACGAAATCTGACGGCTCTCGGTGAGATCTGGTGGTCCAGAAATTGCGCAACGCCAGTCACTCTGGTTCGTGCCTCTCGGGGCCGAGAACTGCGGTGGTGCAGCCAAGAGTGCAATTCGACTCGATAATCACGCGAGACGTTGGTGCGGACAAAGTGTTCCGAGATCATTATTTCAAGGTCCTGCAATAAAATATTCCTCAGTTATGTATTCACACATGACCATACTAATAGATTAATGATCATAAATGTTTCTACTAGGCTAGTGGTGAAAATCCATTATGATAGTGGAATCTGTCAGGCGCAAGAAGAGGAGTTTTTAGGGCTTAGGGAATGTTACATGATTCTGTGGTGTATCGGATATAGATAGCTCCAGCCATCTGGTTGGTGAGGTGATGCATTTCAGCCTTGACCTTTTGTACGAAATTGACTTTGTTCAAGTTGTCAGTCACGTCACTCCGTGATCTCGAGAACGTTCGTCTCTGCCAGGTCTTCTGTTCCTGACTCCCACGGATGCGTGCCTTTCCTTAGGTCGTTTTGTCTCACCTAGAGGAACTAAATAGCTGATGCATGGTCTGAAGTATAGTTGTTAAATCAGGCGGAACCACGTGCCGTGAATCCGTTCCCAATGGTCAGTGTGGCTACAGCGTACGCTGAGGGTCTGAAAACCAGCAGTGAACCTCCATTTCTGCAGTTGTCTCGAGTGCTTTTTTCGATGAGTAGCAATGAGAATAGTAGCGAAGAAGTCTATATCGTGCAATCTCCTCCCCATCCACCCTCTGCCTTTCACATCCTCAGGCGAAGGCGTCGCGGGTGCTGTTCTGCCTGGTTGCGGCCTCCGTACTCCTCACGCTGCTGCCGTGCGCAGTTCATTCCGCCGACTCCGCCAACGTCTCTGCGGAAGAAGCGGCGGCAGCAGCGGCGGCGGAATCCGCGAGGGCGACAGCAGAGGCGGTGGCGAAAGCGGCGGAGAGCGCGGCCGCCAAGGACGAGGCCGCGGAGAAGGCGGCGGAGGAGGCGGCGACGGCACGCGAGGGGGATAAGGGCGCGGAGGATGAGGCGCAAAGCCCGATCCCGCCGGCGGTAGCGCAGGCGGAGAAGGCGGCATCCGACATTGTGCCCGACGGTGGGGGTTGCGTTCCGTGTCGCTTAGGTTCAGGCAGCGTGCAGTGCGGGCAGTGCGTGCATTGGGCAGTGCGGGCAATGATCGAGTGAACTGCCGCGGGACTGCATCCACGCAACTGCTCGCCGCCGGCCCCCTGCATCCTGTTCATCTCGCTGCCTCACTCACACCATGAGGTCGCGTCGCCTTATCGCTGCTGTGACTCGCGCTATGCCCACCTCTCGCCCCTCCGCCGCCCTCGTGCGCTGGTCCCTCCGCGACAGGTGCGTGCAAGAAGGAGATCGCGGATTTCTGCGGCGATCTGACGGTGGGCAATCGGACGGTGGAGAGATGCCTGACGGGGCAGGTGCAGCTGCTCAAATCCAAGGGCGGACAAGGTGCGCCGCTCGGGGGACAGGGAGAGGTGGGGGGGAGGGAGGGGGGGGAGAAGGGAGGAGAGAGGGGATAGGAGGGGGAGGAGTGCGAGTGCGGTGTCGTCGTGAGGGGGTAGTGAGGGGAACGGAAGAGAGGGCGAGACGAGGAGGCGTGTGGATGGCCGTTTCAGCCGCGGTGCTGCACTCTGTTGCTGTCTGTGCGCCGCCATGCATGTGCGCCGTTGCCCTCGGCGTGCTTGCTGACGGCCCCCCAATGCTGTGTCATATGGTGTGTGTGTGTGTGTGTGTGTGTGTGTGTGTGTGTGTGTGTGTGTATGTGTATGTGTGTGTGTGTGTGTGTGTGTATGTGTGTGTGTGTGTGTGTCTGTGTGTGTGTGTGTGTGTGTGTGTGTGTGTGTCTGTGTGTGTCTGTGTGCGCACGTGCGTGTGTGCATGTGTGCAGGGGCAGGCAGCATATCGCCGGGGTGTCTACAGGAGGTATACCAGTTCAAGATAGAGCTGTACAAGAACATCTCCCTCAATAACGACATGGGTCAGTCCCTCTCCCTCTCACCCTCTCATCAACTCCCGCCTCCACACACCGCACCCCACACTCCACAAACCACCTTTGACTCTTGCCTCTCCACTCTTCCCGCCCTCATTGCCTCTCTCGCTCCTGCCCTCTCTCCGCATCTGGCCCCTGCGTGCGCTGCTCTTTCCCCATGGCAGCGGAGGCGTGCAGGGGCGACATACAGCAGTACTGCAACGACGGCTTCCTCTACCCCGAACCCGGCAACGTCCTTGCATGCCTCAGGTGCCCTCTTGCATGCCCAAGGTGCCCACATGCATGCCTCAGGTGCCCACATGCTTGCCTCAGGACCTCAGGTGCCCACATGCATGCCTCAGGTGCCCACATGCTTGCCTCAGGTGCCCACATGCATGCCTCAGGTGCCCACATGCTTGCCTCAGGTGCCCACATGCTTGCCTCAGGTGCCCACATGCATGCCTCAGGTGCCCACATGCTTGCCTCAGGTGCCCACATGCATGCCTCAGGTGCCCACATGCTTGCCTCAGGTGCCCACATGCATGCCTCAGGTGCCCACATGCTTGCCTCAGGTGCCCACATGCATGCCTCAGGTGCCCACATGCTTGCCTCAGGTGCCCACATGCTTGCCTCATGCTTGCCTCAGGTGCCCACATGCTTGCCTCAGGTGCCCACATGCTTGCCTCAGGTGCCCACATGCTTGCCTCAGGTGCCCACATGCTTGCCTCAGGTGCCCACATACTTGCCTCAGGTGCCCACATACTTGCCTCAGGTGCCCACATACTTGCCTCAGGTGCCCACATGCTTGCCTCAGGTGCCCACATGCTTGCCTCAGGTGCCCACATGCTTGCCTCAGGTGCCCACATGCTTGCCTCAGGTGCCCACATGCTTGCCTCAGGTGCCCGCATGCTTGCCTCAGGTGCCCACATGCTTGCCTCAGGTGCCCACATGCTTGCCTCAGGTGCCCACATGCTTGCCTCAGGTGCCCACATGCTTGCCTCAGGTGCCCACATGCTTGCCTCAGGTATCATGCTCGCTGGCATCAGGTGCTCTAATCCCATCGTCCCTTGCTCTGCCCACCCATCTGCTGCCTCTCCACAACACCTCTCCCTCATCCGCCCATCCCCTCTTCCTCCCCTTGTCCACCCTGCACCCTCCCTCACACGAACCACTAACAGGGAGACGCGGGGGGCGGGCAAGCTATCGGACGGGTGTGGGGAGGCGGTGTTGGAGGCGGAGGAGGATGCGGCGGGGGACTTCCGCATGGACCCGCAGCTGCACGCCCTCTGCTCCAACGACGCCGCCCGCCTCTGCAAGGACGTCGCCCCGGGCGAGGGGCGCGTGCAGGACTGCCTGGTGCGTTCAAGGGGGTCGAAGGGGGGACGAGAGTTAAAGCGCCTGAAGAGGCGAAAGTGGGGCGGGGGAGGCAGGTGGGCTTGGTTAATGGGGGAAGGGGACAGAGAGAGTGTTGGCGCTAAAAAGGGCAGGACGAGGCAAAGGTTTGTAGTACTCCCTTGCCTCATTCATTTCTCTACCTCACTGTTCCTGCTACCTCCTCCCACAACCTCCTCCTACCGCCTCCTCTCCCCTCCCTCCACTTCACACCCACACCCCCCCTGCCGTCACTTCCCCCATTGCAGAGGCAGCACCGCAGCAGTGTGAACTGGGACTGCCAGGCGGAGCTGTTCCGGCAGGAGGTGGAGAGCGCCGATGACATCCGCCTCAACGTGCGCCTCTTCAAAGGTGCCTCCTGCCCCTCACCCCTCCTTCCCGCTTGAGTCTTTGAGCGCTGCCATGCACTGCCGTGCCCTCCCTGCCCCCTCCTCGTCTCAACCTCCTCCATTCCTTCCCCACCCCCCCCCGTCCTGCAACCCCCCCGTGTGTGTGTGTGGCACGGGTGCAGCGTGTCTGGAGGACAAGAGGCGGTTCTGTGTGGACGTGGTGCCGGGGGATGCGCGAGTGAAGGACTGCCTGGAGACGCACCGCCACGACTCCGACTTCTCCACACCCTGGTGCGCGTCCCTGCCTGCTGCCAGTGTCAGTCCTGCTCACGTGGGTGCTGCTCACGTGGGTGCTGCTCACGTGGGTGCTGCTCACGTGGGTGCTGCTCACGTGGGTGCTGCTCACGTGGGTGCTGCTCACGTGGGTGCTGCTCGCGTGGGTGCTGCTCGCGTGGGTGCTGCTCGCGTGGGTGCTGCTCGCGTGAGTGCTGCTCGCGTGGGTGCTGCTCGCGTGGGTGCTGCTCGCGTGGGTGCTGCTCGCGTGGGTGCTGCTCGCGTGGGTGCTGCTCGCGTGGGTGCTGCTCGCGTGGGTGCTGCTCGCGTGGGTGCTGCTCGCGTGGGTGCTGCTCGCGTGGGTGCTGCTCGCGTGGGTGCTGCTCGCGTGGGTGCTGCTCGCGTGGGTGCTGCTCGCGTGGGTGCTGCTCGCGTGGGTGCTGCTCGCGTGGGTGCTGCTCGCATGGGTGCTGCTCGCATGGGTGCTGCTCGCGTAAGTGCTGCTCGCATGGGTGCTGCTCGCGTGGGTGCTGCTCGCGTGGGTGCTGCTCACGTGGGTGCTGCTCACGTGGGTGCTGCTCGCGTGGGTGCTGCTCGCGTGGGTGCTGCTCGCGTGGGTGCTGCTCGCGTGGGTGCTGCTCGTTGGGTGGGGGGTGCTGCTCGCGTGGGTGCTGCTCGCGTGGGTGCTGCTCGCGTGGGTGCTGCTCGCGTGGGTGCTGCTCGCGTGGGTGCTGCTCGCATGGGTGCTGCTCGCGTGGGTGCTGCTCGCATGGGTGCTGCTCGCGTGGGTGCTGCTCGCGTGGGTGCTGCTCGCGTGGGTGCTGCTCGCGTGGGTGCTGCTCGCGTGGGTGCTGCTCGCGTGGGTGCTGCTCGCGTGGGTGCTGCTCGCGTGGGTGCTGCTCGCGTGGGTGCTGCTCGCGTGGGTGCTGCTCGCGTGGGTGCTGCTCGCGTGGGTGCTGCTCGCGTGGGTGCTGCTCGCGTGGGTGCTGCTCGCGTGGGTGCTGCTCGCGTGGGTGCTGCTCGCGTGAGTGCTGCTCGCGTGGGTGCTGCTCGCGTGGGTGCTGCTCGCGTGGGTGCTGCTCGCGTGGGTGCTGCTCGCGTGGGTGCTGCTCGCGTGGGTGCTGCTCGCGTGGGTGCTGCTCGCGTGGGTGCTGCTCGCGTGGGTGCTGCTCGCGTGGGTGCTGCTCGCGTGGGTGCTGCTCGCGTGGGTGCTGCTCGCGTGGGTGCTGCTCGCGTGGGTGCTGCTCGCGTGGGTGCTGCTCTCGTGGGCTGGATGCATGTTGGGCTCAGGAGGTGTTGTGCGCAACACAAACTGCTCTCTTCCTATGTCCTCCTGCACGCACCATTTTCCTTTGCTGGCTGTCCTTGATGGATGAATGCGCATGTCTCTGTGTGACTGCATGCATGCGCCCATGCATTAGGCTAACTCCTGTCCCTATGCGTGGCGTGGCATGGCAGCAAGGAGGAGGTGGAGAGGATGATGGAGCGGCGGGCCTCTGACTTCCGCCTGGACACGGGCCTGCGCAAGTACTGCCACCGCGACATAGTCGAGGTCAGCCGGGATGAATGAGTCATCGCAGCTCTGGGCCATGGCAGGGCAATTGGAGAGCAGTGGGAGCAGATGCACACTGAAATAGCCCTATCATATTTTCCAACCGTTTTCGCCTCTTCTTCAATCTCATGTGCAGTTTCTTTGGCCCTTCACCCTTTTCCACTCCCTTCCATTCCCCCCCATTCCCTCCCACTACCTCCCACTCCCTCTCCCCCGTCCAACCCCCTCGCCAGACGTGGACGACATAAGTGACGTGGCGTCATGGGACAGCCGCGTGATAGAGTGCCTCCGTACCCGTGCCCAACCGTTCCCGACTTTCTTTCTAACCTATGCACACTTCCCTTCACTCTTACTCCTTATGCTCTACCTTCTGCCACCCCCTCCCACTCCCACCCACCCCCTCTTCCATCCCAGACGTGCTACCCGGATGCGGACGACATAAGTGACGTGGCGTCGTGGGACAGCCGCGTGATAGAGTGTCTGCAGGACTACCGGCGCGAGCTCAAGGACCCGCGGTGCCGCCAGCAGGTGCACCTGCTCACTCAGAGGGCTGCTGAGGACGTGCGCTTTGACCACCCGCTGCAGCAGGCCTGCCAGGGTGAGCGCTGCACACGGGTGGGAGAGGGGATGGAAGTGGTGGAAGGAAAGGGGTGTGCAGGGTTGAGTCAGGTGGGGTTGGGCTCCTGCGTGCCCCCCCCTCCACCCCTGCTGCAGGCAATTAGGGGCGATGGCATGCATGCCTCTGCAACCGCCCCCTCTGTTGTTCCTCCCCTCTAACCACTGTTTGCCCCTCCGCCCTGTGCTCCTCCTTCGCCCCACCCCACCCTTTCCCTCGGCTCACGCGCACATGCACATGCACGGTGCGCAGAGGACCGCGAGGTGGTGTGTGCGGGGGTGCCGGACGGCAATGCGCGGGTGTTCATGTGTCTGCAGGAGAACCGCCATAAGCTCAAACCCGTGTGTCGCACCGCGCTCTTTGAACAGGTCAGCTGCCCTCCCTTCACCCCTTCACTCATTCGACTTCAAATGCTGCTAGCGTGAACCGCATTCGTAGCTTCAGCATTTGAAGCTGAGGCATGAGGAGTTACATAACACAACTTGCTACCCTTGTTCCACCCGTCGTCCCCTGGTTGGAGGAGAGCAGGAGATCCGGTACGCGGAGGACATCGACTTCAAGTTCCCCATGCGCCAGGCCTGCCAGGACGAGCTGCTGCGCCTCTGCAAGGATGACAAGGGTGGGCAGGGGCGTGGATAGGCAAGGAGGGCATGGCCTTAGGAGGAGAGTGGGTGAAATGTGGAAAAGGGAATGTCTGTGTCTGATGGAGAGGGTGGGGGGCGACATGCAAGGAGTGTAGAGCGAATAAGGAGGGGCTGAGATGAGAAAGCAGTACATGCATGACAATGCATTCAGACTGCTGGTGCGCGGTGCATAGTTGAGCGCTGCTGCTGTGTGGCGGCCGCCTCACCTCTCCCCGTTTCCGCTTATCTGTGTGGTCATGATGGTGGGGCCAGGTGGGGGCGACACGATAGCATGTCTGCAGAAGCACGAGGGGGACGAGGACATGGGCGAGCAGTGCAAGAAGGAGGTCAAGAAGGATGAGGAGCGCAGCGCACACGGTCAGTGCATGTGCATGGCATGCCGTGCACATGCTGCAACATTCCATCCACATCACACATCCATAGCATGCGTGCCACCACATGCACATGCCACTAACGAACCCTTCACCAACCAACCCTTCACCAACCAACCAGCCTTTTCTTCACCCGTCAGCCCTTCACACCGCATCTCTGCGCCCCCCAACACCTCCCACCACCCAACCCCACTCCCGCCTTCAGACTTCCGCCTGAACTACAAGTTGAACCGCGCATGTTTCAGTGACGTGCAGCACCTGTGCATGCACTCGTGCGAGCCCAGGAACGACTCCTTCACCTCCGCTGCTGGCCCCTCGGGCGACCAGTGCGGGGGGCGCGTGCTGCAGTGCCTGGCGGGCAACGCGACCCTCATCGCCAGCCCCGAGTGCAGGGAGGAGGTAGCGTACTTTGAGCGCCGCGAGGTGGGCGATGTCATGCTGGACGTGCCTCTGCAGCGCGCGTGTGTGGATGACATCGGTGCGCTGTGCGGCCTGCAGCGCGACCACAGCAAGGTGCTCTCTTGTCTGCGGCAGCACCGCGCGCAGCTCAAGCCGGAGTGCCGCGACGAGGAGCTGCGGTTCTCAGCCATGGAGGCGTCAGACATCCGCCTCACGCCTTCGCTCATGAACGCCTGTGGGCTGGAGCTGCATACGTTCTGCCGCGGCGTGCCGCCCAGCGAGGGCAAGGCGTTCCGCTGCCTGCAGACCAGCCTGGGCCAGGTGAGGCGGTGTGATGGCAGCAGGTGATGCGTGTGCGGTTGGGTTCGTGGTGGCACAGTAGAGGATGAAGTGGTGTTGTTGCCATCACTCACTTGCACTCCACACCACCTGCTCTGCAAACCACTGCTAGCTTGCTGCTGCAACTTCACTTACCTTGTTTTTCCCATCGCCTCTCCCTGTTCATTCCTTGGCCACTCCCTCTTGCCTTTGCTGCCACTGCGAGAGCGATGTTGAGACATGTATCAATCACCAGAGCACTCTCTGCCATTGCACATCATCCTGCCCCCTTCACCTGCCTCCAGGAGAGCATGGGGGTGGCGTGTCGCTCTGAGGTGGCGCTGCAGACGGTGCGCGAGTCACAGTTCTACCTTGCTGACGTGGCGCTGGCGCTGCAGTGCCAGGTGGACATCACCAAGACGTGCAGCGCGGCGGCCAACAGCACGGCGGACGGCGACGGGGAGGTGATAGCGTGCCTGGTGCAGCACTATGATGGGCTCTCCGGGAAATGCCAGACCGAGGTGCGGTGGGGGGGGGGGTGGGAGTGAGAGGTGCAGTGGGCTTAGGAGGGAAAAAGTGAGATGTAATGGGTAAACGAGGGAGGGATGGGGGTTGGATTTTTGTGTTCACAGATGTTCATTGCAGCTGCTCACCTTTCCGCCTCACCTCCATCTCCCTTGTCCGCTGCATCCCCTGCGGGTGCGTGTGGTGTGTTGGTGCAGGTGGCATACCTGGTGCGCATGGCCCTGTGGGTGTACCACCCCGCCAACAACCTCACCATGCGGTGCGCTGCTGACATCGCCGCCCTCTGCCCCAACGCCACCTCCTCCACCACCATCTCCACTGCGGTGTCGCATGCAGCGCAGGGAGTGGTGGTGGCGGAGGTGGGGCAGTGCCTGGTGGACCAGCCGCTGGCAAAGCTGAGCAGCGAGTCGTGCCGGCAGCTGGTGGCCGTGGTGGGCGTGGCGGGCGCACATGTGGGCGGGGTGGTGGACGAGGCCCGCCTCGAAGCCACTCTTGCTGAGATCGCTCAGGTGACACGCTGGTTCAGGTTTGACATGGAATGTGATCATTCACCAGTGCTGCACGCGAGTTGCGAGCCATCGCCTTTCAGTGTCTGCATCATTCATGCTCCCTGCAAATCCCTTCTGCGTCACTGCCCCACCTGGCCTCTGCTCCTCACCTTTGTTCGTTCCTCCCTTCTCCCTACCCTCACTTGCACTTCTCCTGCACTGCCCTCCGCTTGCCCCTCTCTGAACGTGCAGCTGGGAGCTATAGAGCAGCAGCAGCAGCAGGGGGAGGCGGGTGCCGTGGTGCTGACGGGGTGGACGGCGCTGCTGGCAGTGCTGGCGCTCTCCTTGCTGCTCATTGGTGCCGGCATCTATGCTCACCACCGCTTCTTCAGCCCCACGCGCGACTACACTCTAGTTGTGCAGGAGGGAGGTGTCAAGGAGGGGGATGTGTGACGGATGCTCTGTTTGTGTACTTGTGTTTATATTGAAGCTTCTTCTAGTTCTGACTCAATGTAAGCACTGCAAGCCCGGAAGCCCGTTCTATATAATATGTACATACATCTTGACAGGTGTGGCTTACAAGGTGCATCTCTCTGATGCCCATGGAATAGTGTCAAACTATGTTTATAGAGTTAGATATGCTATAGTGAGTTGGATGTTAGGGGGTACAAAACTTTCTCGACACTTTGGTTGTATCCCTCCCTTTGACCTAGCATGCCCATTCTCTCGCTACTCAAGCAAGTAGGTTCTTAAGATGGTATCATGAGTAGGTGACTTCCTAGCCTAGCCCCGAATCGCCCCGCCCCTTAGCACGTCGTGCCCCGTCCCCTTAGCAGGCCGCGCCCTGTCCGCTCGCAGGCCCCGCCCCTAGCCTGCCCCGTCGTCACGCTCCTTACCCGTCCGCGCCCCACCCTGCCCCTTACCCTCGCGCGCAGCCCGCGCGCCCCCCCCTAGCTCGCACGGTCGCACGCGCGCGCAGCCACGCATATGCAGCAGCGCACGCGCACGCGGGTGCACGTGCGCCAGCAGTACGAATAGCAGCCGCGCACTGCAGCTGCCGTCCGCACGCACGCTCGCCACGCGCGCACAGCAGCGTCAACACGCGCAGCAGCAGCCGCACGCGTTGCAGCAGCCGCACGCGCTGCAGCAGCCGCGAGCACGCACGTCACTGCACGCGTGCGAGCAGCAGCCTCTCACGCACGCAGCAGCCATTGCACGCACGGTTTCAGCAGCAGCTGCACACTCCTCTGCAGCCACTCGCACGCACGCCCTGCAGCAGCCGCAGCCACGCGCGTGCAGCGGCAGCAAGCGCAGCACCTGCCTCCGCATCTGCAGCGAGCGCAGCAGCTGCAGCCCGTGCTCCAGAATCCGTTCCTACCCACTACTATCCGCCCCTACCAGCTCCTTACCACTCCTATCCGCCTCTACCCGCTCCTCACCGCTCCTCACCGTTCCTAACCGCTCATACCCGCCTCTAACCGCTCCTCACCGCTCCTAACCGCACTCGACTGCACTCCACCGCTTTGAACCGTACCTGACCGCTCCCCACCGCACTCGAACGCACCCAACCACTCCTTTCTGCACGTGCAGCACCTTCCTACCGCCTACTGCCTCTGGCTTTCCACTCACAGCGGCTGGCGGCCGCAGTACTCTCTACTAGCGGGACCTAGGCTCGAACCTCTGACTTCATTTGTCCCTCGCCTCACTCGGTTCTCAATTAGCACTTAGGCCTCGCCACTCTGGCTTAGGTCGCTCCTAGCTCAGGCAGTTCCTCGCCTCGTCTCTTCGGGCACCGTACGCCTCACTTGTTTCTAGCTCCGGCCCCTTCTAGCTCTGCGCTCCTAGGCCGGTAGTTCCCTCGTTATGGCGGCCCCTCGTGTACTGCGTTTTGATGCTGAGGGTAGAGCCCTAGAGTTCCCCTCCTGGCTCATCCGTGCCGAGCGGTTTCTCAAGAGTCAGCGCCAGGACAATGATACGCTCTGGGCGCACGCTTCCGGTGACCTGCCTGAGCCTCCGTCCCCTCCTGACCTGGGTGCTCAGCCTGACGAGGCGGCCCAGGCGCGCTTCGATAAAGCCCGTACCGCTCGTTCAGTGTGGCAGTCGCGTGACGATGCGGCATGCATTGCCCTCTCCAGCCTTCTCCCCGAGACTGAGGAGGCTCACTTCTCTCAGGTTCGATTTGCCAAGGACCTGCTCACTGCCATTAAGACACGTTACTCCACTCCCACCTCCGCCTCCCTTGGTCGCCTCTTTCTGCCGTTTCTCTTTCCTGACTTAGGCTCGTTTGACCGCGCTGCTGATCTTATCACCCACCTGCGCTCGCTAGACGTCAGCTACCGTGCTGCTTGTACTGAGGCTCAGCTTGCACTGCTCCCGCCGCCCATGGCGATCACTATTCACTTTATCGCCACTAGCCTCCCTGACCGCCTTGCACCTGTCCGTGACGAGCTTCTTCGGAAGCACCCTAGTGAGCTCACCATCGATGTCCTTGAGACCGCTCTCAAGGACATCGAGAGCAATATCCGCTCCGTTGCCTCCGCATCTGGCGCCGTAGTTCCCCCGCTCTTTCAGGGGTGCACTGTCCCACAGCTTCCCACCTTCACTGCTTCTCTTGCCTCTACTGCGTTTTCTTCTCTTTTGGAGACTGCGGCCGTGTCCACCGCGGGTGGGCGGTCTAGGGGTAAGGGAGGTAAGAGAGGGGGGAAGGGTGGTGGCGCTGGTGGTGGTGGCGGGGGTGCCGGAGGCTCTGGTGACACTAGTGCGTCCGGTGGAGGCGACACTGGGAGCGGCCCTGCGCCTGCGGGCCCGACAGGAGGGGGTGCTGGTGCGGTTACGTGGTACACGGCACAGCGGCGGCAGCAGTCCCAGCAGCAGCAGCCACAGTCAGGACAGCCGCAGCAGCAGGGACAGCCGCAGCAGCAGGTTCAGCGGCAGGTGCAGCAGCAGCCTCAGCAGTGGGGACCTGGTGGACCAGGGAGCGCTGGTCGTGGCGGTGGTCCGCCCAGCTCGGCGTTGCGTGGTGTCACTCCGCCTCCCTGCCCGTACATGGTTCAGTCAGGCGGTCGTGCGGGTTTTCGCTGTGGCCGTTTCCACGCTCCGGGTCAGTGCTTTGCGCAGCTTACTGACCGCGTCCGCGCACAGTTCGGCCTTGGCCCCGCTCCGGACTGGGCCCCGCTTGCTCGCGCTCGTGGACTTGCTTTGTGGGACTTGTCTGCGGCAGAGTTAGTAGATGCTTTAGACTCTGTTTCTGTGATGTATGCTGATGTTGATTATAGTGCTTCTGGGTCTGTTTGCTCGCGTGTTCGTAGTTTAGGTTCTTTGCCTGTTGCTAGTGTAGATCTTTGTCTCTCTAGTCTAGGTGCTTGTGTTTCCGCACTAGGTGCTTGTGTAGCTACCAGCCCAGGTGCACCTACGGCTGAGGCGTCGCTGTCCTTCACGCTGGACTCTGGCGCGTCGCAGTGCTTCTTCCGCGACCACACGACTCTCACACCGCTTCTTGCTCCAGTTTCGGTTGCACTGGCTGATCCTACTTCAGGACCAGCGGTTGCACGCAGCTCTACCACCCTCCCGTGCCCGGTTGTCCCCTCTGGTGTCCTTAGAGGTCTCCACATCCCCTCGTTCACTCGGAACTTGGTGGGTGTTGGATACCTCCAGGATAGGGGGATCACAGTTACCTTTCTGGGAGGCGGGAGGACTGCAGTCTGCACGGACGCTGCCACCGGTGTCGTTCTTGCCACATTTACCAGAGAGTCCCGCTCCGGTCTCTACGTTCTGCACACTGAGCGCTCCCAGGTAGCTGCGTCCCCTCAGGTTGCTGCGTCCCCTCAGGTTGCGGTGTCCGGCCAGGTGGCTGTGTCCGGTCTGGTTGCTGCGTCTTGCTCTTGTCGGTCACTCTCTCACTCGACAGTTTTGTGGCACCACCGTCTTGGTCACCCGTCTCTCCCACGCCTCCGCAGCATGGCTAGCCAGCGTCTTGTCTCAGGTCTCCCGCGCGTCTTTGCGTCGCTCCCTACTTCGCCTGCGCCGTTGTGCACTCCTTGCGTCGAGGGTCGGCTGCGCGCCACTCCTCACTCCTCCTCCCTTCGTCCGGCCACTACACCTTTCCAGACTCTCCACTTGGACGTCTGGGGTCCCGCCCCTCCCCCGGGGCCCGAGAGGGAGAGCTTTTTTCTAGTGGTCGTTGACGACTACTCCCGCTACACCACCGTGTTCCCTCTGGCGAAGAAGTCCGACGTGACTTCTACGCTGATCAGGTGGTTGCTGGCCACTGAGACCACACGTGGCCGTCGTGTTAGTTGTCTTCACTCTGACCGTGGGGGCGAGTTTCGCTCCGGCATTCTTCGCGGATTCTGTAGCGAGCAGGGCATCACCCAGTCCTGGACGCTTCCAGAGTCCCACAGCAGAATGGGGTTGCTAAGCGCCGCATAGGCTTGGTCATGGAGATTGCCCGTACCTCCATGATCCATGCCCGTGCGCCCCATTTTCTGTGGCCCTACGCGGTTCGCTACGCCGCCCACCAGCTGAACATCTGGCCTCGTGTCTCTCGGCCAGGGGCTTCACCGACCAGTCTTTGGACTGGGTCCCCTGGTGTTGCGTCGGAGTTTCGAGTCTGGGGCTGCCTTGCACTTGTCCGCGACACCTCTGCGGACAAGCTCTCGGCCCGCGCCATCCCCTGTGTCTTCCTTGGTTTCCCGGTGGACTCCTCTGACTACACCTTTTACCACCCGCCCCTCCACCGGTTCTTTGACTCTCGTGACGTCAGGTTTAGCGAGTCCGTGTCCTACTACACAGGTACCCCTGTCGAGGTCTCCCGGTTCCCCCCCCTCCCCTTTTTCTCGCCCCCTCTCCTCCTCCTGCTCCCGCTCCTCCGGTACCCCCGCCCCCCCCTGGTCCAGCCCCGTCAGGTGTGTCCCACGCTACCCCTCTACCCTCGATCGCACGTCAGGTAGCGTCGCCGCAGTCCTCCTCACAGTCCCCTCAGCAGCCTTTGGCACTTCCGCGACAGGTTACTGTGGACTCCGGGGGTGCTGGAGCTGGAGGTGCTGGCGCTGGAGGTGCTAGTTCTGGGGGTGCTGGTGTTGGGGGCACGGACGGTGGGGGTGCTAGTTCTGAGGGTGGTGGAGCTGAGGGTGTTGGCGCTGGAGGTACTAGTTGTGAGGGTGCTGGAGCTGAGGCTACTGGCGCTGGAGGTGCTCGTTCTGGAGGTACTCTTACTGGGGGTGCTGGCACTGGTGGTGCTAGTTCTGAGGAGACTGGAGCTGGAGGCACTGCTACTGTGGCGCCTACCCCACCTCCCCACCGCTACCCGACGAGTTTCCAGAGGCTTCGTCAGCTGGAGCGCGAGGAGCGGGAGCGGTTGGAGCAGGAGAGGCTGGGGCTGGAGCGGCAGCAGCTGGAGCTGCAGTAGCAGGAGCAGCAGGAGCAGCAGCAGCAGCAGCAGCAGCAGCAGCAGCAGCAGCAGCAGCAGCAGCAGCAGCAGCAGCAGCAGCAGCCGCAGCAGTCGCAGCAGCCGCCGCCCTTGCAGCCGTTGTTTCCACCTGTGAGTGGCCTTCGGGCCATTGGAGTTCCTTCCTCTCCTCCAGACCGCTCACTGTCTCCCCCTGTTTACGGTCCTACGTTCCCCCCCCCCCCGGACTCGTCTCCGGCTGTCTTCTCTCCTCCTCAGTCACAGTCGTCTCCTCCTGTTGTCCCGCACGACTGGACAGTGCGTTGTCCCGCCCGTGCACGTCCCTCGTCTCCTTTTGACGACCTCCGCACTGTCTTGTTTCGTTCGAGTCCTCGTCGTTCTCCACCTCAGTCTGTTCTCCCGTCACCTCCTGAGTCGTCTCTTACAGCCTCCACGTCTACCCCTATCACTGACTACTACCGTGCCACCCGTCCTGTTGTCACTCGTGTTCTCGCCTCTCTAGTCACGGACCCTCGTGCCTCTCCGTCGTCTGTCTCGGCTCTTTCTGCCGCTGTCGCTGACTTTGCCGCCACCCGTCGCCTTGACTACGCCACCCGTGTGGTAGCCGCCCGTCCTCTGTCCGCCGGGGGTGAGTCTGCCCTTGGCTGTGACGTCCTAGAGGACAGGCAGTTTGAGCTGGAGTTCTTGGCGGCCGCTTCTCCCCATCTCTGTGCCATGCTGCTAGCTCCTGAGGGAGACCCCGACGCCCTTGACATACCGACTCCTCGCACGTACCGTGAGGCAGTGTCAGGGCAGTGGGCTTCTCAGTGGATAGCGGCCATGGAGTCAGAGATGGCGTCTTGGAGATCCACAGGCACTTACGTCGACGCAGTTCCCCCACCTGGGGCGAACGTAGTCGACGGCATGTGGATTTTCAAGGTGAAGCGGCCGCCTGGATCGCCGCCTGTGTTCAAGGCGCGCTACGTGGCTAGAGGTTTCAGTCAGCGTGAGGGAGTTGACTTCTTCCAGACCTTCGCTCCGACCCCGAAGATGACGACTCTTCGGGTGTTACTACACGTTGCAGCACAGCGAGACTACGAGTTGCACTCCCTCGACTTCTCCACCGCCTTTCTCCAGGGCAGCCTGCACGAGGAGATCTGGTTGCGTCGTCCTCCCAGCTTCACTGGCACTTTCCCGCCTGGGACCCAGTGGAGCCTGAGGCGACCAGTCTACGGTCTCCGCCAGGCGCCCCGTGAGTGGCACGACACGCTGCGCACTACTCTTGCTGCCCTCGGGTTTCGTCCTTCGTCCGCCGACCCGTCGCTGTTCGTTCGTTCTGGGCCCACACCCTTCTTCGTCCTCGTCTACGTCGACGACTTGGTCTTTGCTACAGCAGACAGGACTGCACTGGCTGAGGTGAAGTCAGAACTGCAGAAGAGACACACGTGCACTGACCTTGGTGAGCTGCGCCGCTACCTTGGCTTGCAGATCACCAGGGACAGAGCCGCTCGCACCATCACACTCACACAGTCACACATGGTGCGGCAGGTCCTTCAGCGGTTCGGGCTTCAGCACTCCACCACACAGCCCACCCCTCTTGCCGTTGACCACAGACTCACCGGCCCTTTTCCCGACGAGCCTTTTGAGTCTAGTGGTCCCTACGCAGAGCTTGTGGGCTGCCTCATGTACCTGATGACTTGTACTCGTCCGGACCTCGCTCTTCCCCTCAGCGTCCTCTCTCGCTTTGTTGCGACTGGGAGACACCGTCCTGCTCACTGGACAGCTGCTGTGAGGGTGGCGAAGTACCTGGCGACTACATCAGGCATGGGACTTGTGCTTGGAGGGACACAGCCAGTTGTACTGACTGGTCACTGCGACTCTTCCTACGCCGACGACGTGGAGACACAGAGGTCCACTCAGGGCTACTGCTTCAGCTTGGGCGCTGGAGCTGTGTCGTGGAGGTCTACTCGGTCGTCTTCTGTGGCTTCGTCTAGTGCTGAGGCAGAGATCTACGCCGGTGCCATGGCTGCGCAGGAGCTTCGCTGGTTGACTTTCTTGCTCACCGACCTTGGTGAGCGGCCGAGCTCTGCACCGACCTTGTTCGCTGACAACAAGGCCATGATCCTCCTGTGTCGAGAGCCTCGACTGGAGAGCAGAGTGAAGCACATCGACGTCAGGTACTTTCTCCTGCGAGAGTTGCAGCGACGTGGCCAGGCACGCTTGGACTTCGTGGCCTCACAGGCCAACACTGCAGACATATTCACCAAGGCCCTTCCGCCTGGTGACCACCACAGGTTCTGTTTGCAGTTAGGCCTTGTTGACGTAGGCTCGTGGCTACAGTAGTCTTGTCTCTTGTTGCTTGCTGTACTTCTATATATGTCTGCGAACGCTTGAACTGGCCTTGTGGCCTCTTGTTTGTGCTCAGAATGTGTGGTGACTTCGTGATCCACCCTGAGCTTGCTGTGTTTCTTTTCTTGACTGGTCTTGTGACCACATGCGTGTCATACCTGTTTTGATGCTGGAGCTGGGGGTACTAGAGGTGCTTCTGGTGCTGGAGGTGCTAGAGCTACCACTACTGGAGGTACTGGAGCTGGACAGCCACCGCAGCCTGCTCTACTTGAGACGCTCTCGCCGCAGGCGATTCGTGCGTGGGTCGTTCGGCGAGGCAGTCCTGGTGGTGGAGGGTACGGTCCGGCTGGTGCTGGAGTTACTAGTCCAGGAGGTGCTGCTGGTGCTGGAGGTGCTGGAGGTACTACTGGAGGTACTAGAGGTACTGCTGGTGCTGGGGGTGCTGCTGGTGCTGGGGGTACTGGAGCTGCTGCTGGTGCTGGAGGTGCTGGAGGTGCTGACCTTGGAGGTGCTGGTGCTGGAGGTACTGGAGGTGCTGGAGCTACTGGTCCCGGAGGTGCTCGTACTGGAGGTGCTGGAGCTGCCGGAGCAGGTGGTGCTGCTGGTGCTGGAGGTGCTAGAGGTGCTACTGGAGCTGCTGGCACGGGAGGTACTGGAGGTACTACTGGTGCTGGAGGCGCTGGAGCTGGAGCTGGAGGTGCTGGAGGTACTACTGGTGCTCGAGGTGCTAGCGCTGTCGGAGCTCGTGGTGCTGGAGGTGCTGGTGCTACTGGTGCTGGAGGTGTTGCTGGGGGTACTGGAGGAGCTGCTCGTGCTGGAGGTACGGGAGCTACTGGTGCTCTTCGCCACCTTCTCAGTCTTCCGCCAGGTGCTACTGGCTTCCCTGTGGCAGGTACTACTCCTCCGTTGCTGTGTCCGCCAGTAGACCAGTCACAGCCACCGCTGCTACCACACTCCCCACTGCCTGCTCCTGCTCCTTACACTGCGGTGTCAGAGTCCCTGACTGAGCGTCGAGAGCCTGAGACTCGTGCTTCCACCCCTGAGCGTCGAGAGCCTGAGTCTAGCTTTGACCTTGAGCCTGAGCCTAGAGCTGCTGTCCGTGCTCGTGTTCCTCGTGTTCGTCGTCCGCGTGCTCTGGCTGTCCCCGGCACTCACGATATGACACTCCGTCCTTCCTCTGTTCCTCAGCGTGTTGTACTACCGTTACCTCCTGCGTCCTCTCTGCCTGACGTTGCTGACCCTCCGTCTGACCTTGCTCGTGCGTCCAGTCCGACTGTTACTCGCCTTCTTGCTACGGTTGTGACGGACCCTACGTTCTCGTCTCCTGCTGCGTCTGCCCTAGTAGCTGAGCTCGTTGACTTTGCTGCTGTGTACCGCCTAGACTACCTTGCGAGTCTTGTCTTTGACCCTGTCCCTGCCTGTCCTCCGTCCGTCGGGGGTGAGACTGCTCTTGGCTGTACTGCCCTTGGCTGTGACGTTCATGAGGACAGACAGGAGGAGCTGGAGTGCCTTGCTGTCGCTTCACCCCATCACGCGACCATGCTGCTTGCCCCTGAAGGAGACCCGGATGCACTTGACATCCCCACCCAGTGCTCCTACAGGGAGGCGATTTCGGGTGAGTACTCATCTCAGTGGCAAACAGCCATGGACGCAGAGATGGCTTCCTGGAAGTCCACAGGCACCTACGTCGACGAGGTTCCCCCACCTGGGGCGAACATCGTCAGTGGCATGTGGATTTTCAGGGTGAAGCGGCCGCCGGGTTCTCCGCCTGCCTTCAAGGCATGTTACGTTGCTCGAGGCTTCAGTCAGCGCGAGGGGGTCGACTTCTTTCAGACCTTCTCCCCCACCCCGAAGATGACCACTCTTCGGGTGTTGCTACACGTTGCAGCTCAGCGTGACTACGAGCTGCACTCCCTCGACTTCTCGACAGCTTTCTTGCAGGGTAGCCTTCACGAGGCCATCTGGTTGCGCCGTCCACAGGGCTTCACTGGGTCGTTTCCTGAGGGTACCCAGTGGAGCCTACGCCGACCAGTGTACGGCCTGCGTCAGGCGCCCCGTGAGTGGCACGACACACTGAGGACGACACTTGCGGCTCTAGGGTTTGCTCCTTCGACTGCTGACCCGTCGCTGTTTCTCCGCACCGACACTACTCTGCCGCCGTTCTACATCCTCGTGTACGTCGACGACTTGGTTTTTGCTACTGCTGACACTGAGGCACTGGCCCTAGTGAAGGCGGAGCTGCAGGAGAGACACACATGCACTGATCTGGGTGAGCTGCGGAGCTATCTTGGCTTGCAGATCACCCAGGACAGACCACGGCGCACCATCACCCTCACTCAGTCACACATGGTGCACCAGGTCCTTCAGCGCTTCCGCTTCACTTGGTCCTCGCCACAGCCCACTCCTCTGTCTACTAGCCACTCGCTCTCAGCTCCACCTTCGAACGAGTCCGTAGAGCCGAGTGGTCCGTACCCAGAGCTTGTGGGTTGCCTCATGTACCTGATGACGTGCACACGACCTGACCTCGCGTACCCTTTCAGCCTCCTGGCTCGCTACGTGGCACCTGGTCGACACCGAAAGGTGCACTTTGATGCTGCGAAGAGGGTACTGCGTTACTTGTGCAGCACATTGGGCATGGGGCTCGTGCTTGGAGGACGGGGTTCGGTGGTCCTCACAGGACACTCTGACGCTTCTTGGGCCGACGACCAGACGACTCAGCGTTCGTCACAGGGTTACACCTTCAGTCTTGGCTCTGGTTCTGTCTCGTGGAGGTCCACTCGTTCTTCTTCTGTGCTTGGTTCCAGCTGTGAGGCCGAGATCTACGCTGGGGCCATGGCTGCACAGGAGCTACGCTGGCTGACCTACCTGCTGACCGACTTGGGGGAGCGGCCTCGTTCTCCTCCAGGTCTGTACGTCGACAACAAGGCAATGCTTGCCTTGTGTCGCGAGCAGAGACTGGAGCACAGAACGAAGCACATTGCTCTTCGCTACTTCCTTGCGTGTGAGCTGCAGCAGCGTGGTCAGCTGCGCCTTGCTTACGTGGCCTCTCGGGCCAACACTGCTGATGTCTTCACCAAGGCCCTTGGGTCTGGTGATCATCACCGTTTCTGCACTACTCTTGGGCTTGTGCCCACTCTGCCTCACCTGTTGGTTGCTTGACTTGCTCTTGTTGTACACTGCTATATATCTTTATACCTGCTTGTTTTCTCTTGCTAGGTTGTGATCAGTGTACTGCCTTGCTATTATATACCTCTGCATGTGAACTGGCCTTGTGGCCACTTGCTTGTGCTCAGAATGCGTGGTGACTTTGTGATCCACCCTGAGCTGTGTTCTCTTCTGCAGAGTGGTCTTGTGACTGCTTGTTGTGTTTGATGTCCCCTACTTTGCGTATGGGGGTGTGTCAGATTACAATTGTATCTCTAGGCTACAGTAGGGTCACTCCTTAGTGAGTACAACACTTTAGGGTTAGGTTTCCTCTACTTGTACTCACCTCTTGCCTAGTTCAATCATTCATTCCTAGTTCTATTCTTGACACTACCACCCTGCCAACAACCTCACCATGCCCTGCGCGGCTGACATCGCCGCCCTCTGCCCCAACGCCACCTCCTCCACCACCATCTCCTCTGCTGTGTCGCATGCGGCGCAGGGAGTGGTGGTGGCGGAGGTGGGGCAGTGCCTGGTGGACCAGCCGCTGGCAAAGCTGAGCAGCGAGTCGTGCCGGCAGCTGGTGGCCGTGGTGGGCGTGGCGGGCGCGCATGTGGGCGGGGTGGTGGACGAGGCCCGCCTCGAATCCACTCTCGCTGAGATCGCTCAGGTGAGGCTGCTGGAGGTTGCACATGTGGCACAGATCGCTCAGGTGATGCTGGTGGGGGTTGCACATGTGGCACAGATTGCTCAGGTGATGCTGGTGGGGGTTGCACATGTGGCACAGATTGCTCAGGTGATGCTGGTGGGGGTTGCACATGTGGCACATATTGCTCAGGTGATGCTGGTGGGGGTTGCACATGTGGCACAGATTGCTCAGGTGATGCTGTCAAAGATATGCATATGTTATATTTGTGGGTAGGCTGTAGTGGGGTAGATACTGTGGGGTATAACCCCTTAGGGTTTTCTCCTTGTACCAATTCTCTCGATAGTCAACTTCACTCATGCCTAGATTCTAAGATGGTATCTAGAGCCTAGAGGTCTTTAGGACCTAAGATTAGGGCCCACCCGTTACCACGTTACCTCACTTGCCTGCCTGCCTTGCCTACTGCCCGCGCGCGCCTCGGCTGCACGTGCGCGGCCCCTTTTTTTTTTCCCGCGCGCGCCACTTAAGCAGCCCGCGCGCGGCTCGTTTAGGCCCGTTTTCGGCCCCGCGCGCCACGTCAGCCGCCCGCGCAGCCTGCCGCCGGCCTCGCGCGTCGCCTCCTCCGGTGTGCAGCCCGCGCGCAGCCCGCTTAGGCCCCGCCGCGCGCAGCCCGTCGCCACGCGCAGCCAGAAGCCGCGCGCAGCCCACAGCCGCGCGCAGCCCGTCACCACGCGCAGCCAGCAGCCACATGCAGCCCACAGCCACGCGCAGCCCTTAGCCACGCGTGCCCTGCCAGTGTGCCGCCCGTGAGCCGCGCGCCTGGCTGTCTTAACCTGCCTGGAGAGCCTGCCTTGAGTGCCTGCCTGACAAGAGAGCCTGCCTGCCTTGAGTGCCTGCCTGCCTTGAGCTGCCTTGCCTGCACTGCTACTATGGCGACGCTTAATGTGCTCGAGTTCGATCCTGACGGTCGCCCAGTAGAGTTTCCCACCTGGCTTGACGACCTGCAACTGTTCCTTCTGACTGATGCCAAGGACGGTGTTTCCCTGTTCGATTACGTGTCTGGCACTGCCGTTGCTCCTGCTGACACTGAGACTGCTCTAGCCCGCTCCCAGTGGCAGACCCGCGATGCTGCTGCGCGCCTAGCTATTCGCAACCATCTGCCAATCACAGAGCGAGCGCATTTTAGCCAGCACAAGACTGCCAAGGCACTGTACGAAGCTGTAGTTGCCCGCTACTCTTCCCCGGCCACTGCAGCCCTCGGTCGACTTATGCTACCCTACCTGTTCCCCGACCTGTCCTCGTTTACCACCGCTGAGGACCTCATCTCTCACCTACGCGCTAGTGACACTCGCCTTCGTGCCGCCCTTCCAGCCGAGTTCCTTGCAGAGAACCACCCCCCGATGTACTTTACTCTCTACTTCCTCATCACCCGCCTCCCTGACACTCTTCGCTCAGTCAGGGATCACTTCCTCGCCCTTGACCCCCATTCTCTCACTGTCGACGACCTCGAGAAGCACCTCCTAGCAGCCGAGAAGAACATTCTAGCTGTAGGTGCTGCTCGTGGTACTCCCCGCACTCCCCTCTTTGAGGGGTGCTCCCCCTCCCCTCTTACCTCCTCCTACGCCTCCGCAGCTGCTGCTATCGACCTCCTTGGTGCTGAGCAGGTCGCAGCTGCTTCCGCTCCTAGTGGGAAGCGCAGCGGCTCTAGGGGAGGCAAGGGTGGCAGGGGTGGCGGACGTGGCGGTGGAGGGGGCGGTGGTGGAGGCGGCGGGGGAGGTGGAGGTGGTGGGGGTGGTCGTGGGGGTGGAGGTGGTAGTGGGGGCGGTGGTGGTGCCGGGAGCGGTGGCGGCGGCGGTGGTGGCGGAGGGGGGAGTGGTGGTGGCAGCGTTGGTGGGGGCTTGGGTGACACCCGTGGTGGCCAGGGGCAGCAGCAGCAGCAGCAGCAGCGTCAGCGCCAGACCCCCACTTCCCAGCAGCTTCTTGACTGGTATGCCGGGCGTGGGGCGTCTGGGGGTCCTGGTCGCTGCCCCTATATCATTCGCACAGGTCCCCGCACTGGTCGCCAGTGCACAGGGTTTCACACTGAGTACCGCTGTTTTGCTCGGCTTAGCGACGCCTGGCGCGTCAAGTTTCCTGATGCTACTGAGTTCCCCAACTGGGCAGACCTGCTTAGGCGTGATGTACCTATCTTTGATCTTGACTATGAGGCTATTCTTGTTGCCATGTATGCATTGACTGTTAGTGCTGAGGGCGACTGCTACTTGTGTGTGCCGCCTGACCCAGGTATATTCCCAGGTATAGCGCCTGTGGCACTAGGTGCTTGTGAGTCTGCTCCCCCTGGTACTGCGTCCGCACAGGCCTTGCACACCTTCACACTTGACTCTGGTGCTTCCCGCTATTTCTTTCGCGACAGCACCACAGTCACTCCCCTCCCTGCACCTGTTCCTGTCTCACTGGCTGACCCCTCTGGGGGCCCAGTGCTTGCACGGTCTTCCACTGTGCTTCCGTGTCCGGCGGTCCCGTCTGGTGAGCTGTCTGGTCTCCACCTCCCCTCGTTCTCTACGAACTTGGTGAGCAACGCCGTCATCCAGGATCACTGGGTTGACACCTTTACTCCTGGAGGACAGCGTGTGGCAATCTGCACGTGCTCCCGGACCGGCCGTCACCTGGCCACGTTCACACGTGCGCCTGGGTCCAGTCTCTACACCCTCACCACTGCGTCACGCTACACCCCTTTGTCCCCCCAGCTGTACGCGTCTGCTCAGGTAGCTACCCAGTGTGAGTGTCGCCGCCTGTCGCACGACACTCTCCTGTGGCATCACCGCCTTGGTCACCCCTCCCTGCCTCGCCTTCGTAGCATGCACTCTCGCTACCTGGTCTCTGGCCTTCCCGAGTCTCTGCCTGCCCTCCCTCCCTCGCCTGCGCCGCCCTGCATTCATTGCGTCGAGGGGCGGCAGCGCGCCGCTCCTCACTCCTCCTCGTTCCCTCCCACAGAGGCTCCCCTGCAGACTCTCCACATGGACGTGTGGGGCCCAGCCCGCGTCCGTGGACAGGGCCACGAGCGGTACTTCCTGCTGGTCGTCGACGACTACACGCGTTACACCACGGTCTTCCCCTTGCGCAGCAAAGGGGAGGTCCCTGATGTTTTGATCCCCTGGATCCGCGCTGTTCGTCTCCAGCTCCGCGAGCGGTTCCACTCGGACTTTCCTGTCCTGCGTCTGCACTCTGACAGGGGTGGTGAGTTCTCCTCAGACCTCTTGGCAGCCTTCTGTGCGGAGCACGGCATCCGCCAGGCGTTCACGCTTTCGGCCTCTCCGCAGCAGAATGGGGTTGCTGAGCGCCGCATTGGCTTAGTCATGGAGGTCGCTCGTACCTCCATGTTCCATGCGGCTGCCCCCCATTTTCTGTGGCCGTTTGCGGTCCGGTACGCCGCGCATCAGCTCAACCTCTGGCCCCGTGTCTCCTTGCCGGAGACCTCGCCCACACTGCTGTGGACGGGGAAGGTTGGCGATGCGTTGCGTTTCCGGGTCTGGGGTGCTCGTGCCTTTGTCCGCGATACCACCGCGGACAAGCTCTCCGCTCGCGCCATTCCCTGCGTCTTCCTTGGCTTTGTTCCTGACGCGCCTGGCTGGCAGTTTTACGACCCAGCCTCGCGCCGTGTCTTTCCGTCACGTCACCTTTAACGAGTCCGTCCCCTTTTACCGTCTCTTTCCCTACCGCACTGCCCCTCGCCCCCCCCCGCCGCTCTTTCTCGCCCCAGGTCCTCCCCAGGTAGACCCCCTCCCCGCGCCAGGTCCCGCTCCTTCAGGTGTTTCTCAGGTAGACCCTCCCGTGCCTGCGCCTGTTGAGGTCACTGGTGACTCAGGTCCTGCTGGGGGTGGTGCTGTCTTTGGGGGTGCTGGGCCTGGGGGTGTGGAGCGTGGGGGTGCTGAGCCTGGGGGTACGGAGCTTGGGGGTACTGAGCCTGGGGGTGCGGAGCCTGCGCGTGAGGAGCCTGGAGGTCCTGAGCCTGGGGGAGCTGTGTCTGGAGGTGCTGAGCCCGAGCGTGAGGAGCCTGGTGGTACTGAGTCTGGGGGTGAGACGCCTGAGGGTTCTGAGTCTGCTGCTGCGCGGTCTCCTTGGAGTAGCCGCCTTCGTCCGCGTGTGCCTCTCACCTCACAGCAGCTGCACGACTGGTACGGTCGCCGTTAGGGTCGAGCTTCTGGAGCTCGGGGCTCTACTGCTGGAGGTACTTCTGCTGACGTCACTGGAGCTAGGAGTGGTACTGGTCCCGGAGGTGCTCGTACTGGAGGTACTGGAGCTACTGGGGCTGGAGGTGCTGCTGAGCCTGAGGGTGCTACTACTGGAGACCCTGGGTCTGGGGGTGCTGCTGCTGGAGACACTGAGGCTAGAGACCCTGGGACTGGGGTGCCGGTTCTGGGGGTGCTGCTGTTGGTGGAGCTGGTCCTAGAGGAGCTGGTGCTGAGGGTTCTGGGGCTGCTGGAGGTGCTGGAGCTGCTCGGGGTACTGGAGCTGCTGGTGCTGGTGTCACTGCACAGCCGCGCCTGTTTTTTGCTCCACCGTCTCCGTCGTCTCAGCCACCTCCTGACTCTGTGCTTCGCCAGGTTCTTAGTCTCCCTTCGTCTACTGGTCTTCCGTTACAGCCTGGCTCACCGCTGCCTGCTCCTTCTCCTTACACTGAGCAGACAGGGGGTCTTACTGAGCGTCGTGCGCTTGCGTTGCGTCCTGTCTCGCCTGTCCGTTCTGGTCGTCGTATTCCTCGTCCGCGTCAGTCGGCTGTCCCCAACACCCACCTCGTAGTCCGTCGTCCTTCCTCTCCTCCGCAGCGTGTTCCTCTGCCGTCTCCTCCTGCGTCTTCTCTGCCTGTTGTTCCGGACCCTGAGTCTGACCGGTTTCGTGCTGAGCACCCTACTGTCACGCGTCTGCTAGCCACTGTTGCCACTGACCCGTCGTTTGAGTCTGCTGTTGCGTCTGTTTTTGTCGCTGAGCTGGTTGACTTTGCTGCTGCCTGTCGTCTAGACTACGCTGCTAGTCTTGTTGCTGAGTCTGAGTCTGTCTGTCCTCCGTCCATCGGAGGTGAGTGTGCTCTTGGCACGGACGTCCTTGAGGACAGACAGGAGGACCTTGAGTGTCTTGCGGCCGCTGCACCTCATCTCGTGGCCATGCTGCTTGCCCCTGAGGGAGACCCAAATGCACCAGACATCCCGACCCCGCGCTCTTACGCTGAGGCGATCGCGGGTGAGTACTCCTCTCAGTGGCAGACAGCCATGGACGCAGAGATGGCATCCTGG